ACATTCGCAGACTGGCGGGGCGGCCCGCATATATATACAGTATATGTGGAAATGGCACAATTCGCGGGTTGCCGGGTTTCTTCTCTTTTTTTTTCTGCGAGGGTATTATATATATTTTCTGGGTGTCCTGGGCTACCATCGATCCGCTTAACCGAAACACGCCGGGCCTCGTTTGTTCGCAGCATATATATACGTGATGTTCTTCGACGCACATCAGACAATGCTGGCATCCATGCAACATATGCAGCAGCAGTGTGGAAATAAATGACATGAACTAGCAATTTTTTTTTAGCACAAGTTTATATTCAAGTGGCTGTGAGAAAAATTATGCAGCAACCGTCAGCAGCAGCAGCATTACCAACGATCGCAAATTCGGTTCCTCCTATTGCGTATCCTCCTGGCGTTCCTCTGCCTCCTCTAGGTTAGTGTGCTGCAGCAGTGTTTCAATTGTTTATTGTTTGACAATGAAAAATTGGCAATTTAAAAAAAAGGATTTTTAACTGTAGCATGGGATGATGGCCCATTATTTAAAAAAATGGCGATTTTTAAAAAATGATTTGTAACTGTAGCATGGGATGATGGCCCATTAATAATATACTGTACATTCCCTTGCTTCCGTCAATGTACATGGATTATATTCAAGTAAATCAAGTTCTTTGTATGCAGTACCATCTACAGTAAATGGAAATGAATGCACTTTGTTGGACTATTCCTCAATTCCCATTTTAAAATACATAAAATGCTATAATACAGTATTAAGGCTTGAATACTTTGTCACATATCCAATAGTACAGTGTACTGTGAACATGTAAAATGGTTGTGAAGGAAAACCACACAATTTGTCCCTTTTAAACAGCATATACAGTAATCTATTGTTACAAGTAATCCTGTAATATGAGCAAAGTTTGCCAAAAATAAATAATTTTTAGGTCAATGCTGTCCATTCAAGAGGCACACAGGAACTTAAAGTTCTTTATAATAACTGTTATAGTATAACAAAGCAGCTTTCCCCAGATCCTAAGGATATAAGTTGCAATAAGAGAACTTGTTGAATGGTTTATCTTTGCAGAAATTAAGTGTTTGCTTTGATGAAGTACATTTCATCATATAGAACTCCATGCATAAAAGCTTGTGTAAAGTTCCTGATGTTTTTGTACAGCAGAAACCTTTATACAGGTGGTACCTCACAATTTGACTGTCCCACAATTCAGTGGTCACATGTACAGGGAGGTTGACTTGAAATTAAACCTCTGCCACAGAAATCAACCTGATTTGACCACTTTTTTGCTGATATTTTATTTTATGAATTGTCTCACAATTTGACCACTTTGCAATTCAACCCTAGTCCAGCAATGGATTAGGGTTGAATTATTGTGAGGTACCACCTGTATACAGGTGGACTCTCAATGACACAAAATTCAAGGGACCAGAAACATATTTTTTTAGAGAGAATTTTGTTGTACATTTACACCTACTGTATTTAGGGGGCAAAGAAACCTATGGGGCCAAAAGTTCCTAATTTTACAGAGAACATTGTTGTGAACAGCATCATTCTTGTAGTCTAACTGCAATATTATTAAAATGTCTATGAAATATTTTTGTGTCACAAAGGTTCAAAACCAATATGTCCAATTCAGTCATAACATGAAATTATTGTAATTCTTCTTCAAAAAAGGTACAGCCAAATTATCAGGAACTTTACTGGGGTGAACAAAAGTTCATAAATGGTATGATGGCTTTGTCATCTCTTATTGAACCCCACAAATTGCTCAATGAATATTTAATCCATATAATGAGCGCTAGCAGACGGTGCAAAACATCAGGAGAAAATGTGTCAAGGACATACGCTTGAAAGAGAATAATTTAATAATATATGTGGCTTAGCACTTTTTCAGATGATCTTTCCTCAGAACTTATGAACCACCCCTTTTATATTTGGGAGGAAACAGGAGGAGCTGCTGGATATGTGAATCCTGGCATGAATTATCCTGGCCAGAATTTGGGGGTGATTCCAGTACCACCATATCCTGGTTATCCTGGTGGAATCCCTGATGGAAGTCCTTATCATGCACCACCAACTGCATTGGGATTCCAACCACTGTATCCTCCATACCATTCTGTGAGTGCATACCTCATCTTGAAAGAAAGTGACTTACAGTTCAAAATATGGTTATATTTTCATTTTGACTGTGAATCATGGGTGACCAGGAATTTTTATAAGTTGAGATAACATCATGCCTGTTTCATCTTGAAAGAAAGTGACTTATAGTTGGAAATATGGTTATACAGTGGCCCCCTGCCTAACAGACCTCTCGTGAAAGAGATTTTTGCCAAACAGACCAGCTCTGCAAGCAGTTTTTCCTCCCGCCCAACAGACAAAATCCGCCAAACAGACTTCTTTTGGTTTAAAATTAGTGTTGGAAATTGAAATTTTTAATTTTTTATGTAATTGAATTTGTGTAAAGGACTTTTTGTCTAACAGACTCGTCCGTTGCACAAATCAAGTCTGTTAGACAGGGGTTGACTGTATTTTCATTTTGACTGTGAATCATGGGTGACCAGGAATTTTTATAAGTTGAGATAAGAGCATGCCTGTTTCATCTTGAAAGAAAGTGACTTATAGTTAGAAATATGGTTATATTTTCATTTTGACTGTGAATCATGGGTGACCAGGAATTTTGATAAGCTAAGATAAGATCATCCCAGTTTTGTTGTGCTGAAAAGATATATATATATTTCAATTCATTTTATTTTTGTATGTTAAGTGAAATTTTAATTGAACTATCTTCCAGAATGCCATTTTGAAAATATTGTTTCTGAGAATTTTGATTTTTTTCTGAAATAAGAGACTATTTCCTTCAACTCTGAATTATTTTCTGGCCATAACAGCACATCATCAAGCAAAATAATACTGTAAGGAAGAAAATGAGTTTATTCAGATGTATAAACTGAAAATCACATGAGAACCTGATGACAAATATTGTCCCAAGGTAAGTGACCCAGAAGCATGAAGCAATAAATCACTGGATTTCAATAGATGAAATTTCCTTGGGCATAAAAAATTTATTATGTGAGTCACTTTTTCCTTGGTTCAGATTTTTTTTCGCAATTCGAATAATTTGCTATAAAAGGAGGCCTCATCTGCATTATATAGTGTTTCTCAGTCAGAAACCGTATCTTTCCATCACTCATTTTCAAAATGATACACAGGGCCCACCAGCTCATAATGCGTCCCAGCAACAACCCCTTCCGAATGACCCCTGGGGACAAAAGCCGAATCCGTACCAAATGGGGCCAGTGGTGACCCAGCAACCGAGACCCTCGTGGACAGCGAATCATCGCTACCACAACTACGATTCGGACTCTTCAGACGACGTCGGCTACAAGAGGCGCCGGCGTAAAAAGGGCGGCGGTGCTGGCGGCTGTTGCGGAGGAGACACGGGGAAAACCCTGACGGCGGCTTGCTGTTGTTTCTGCATTTGGCTCAACTGTTGTCCCAAGGACTACATGTGCTTGACTTGCTTTGAATGTTGCGATGACTGCGGAGACTGCACAGATTGCGGGGATTGTGATGGATGTGACACTGAAGACTGATTTTTTTTTCCCCCAGCTCACTCTGATGTTGGCTGAACAACACTGTGGGAGGTGAGACACGATCAGTAACAAGAACAATGATAAGAGGCGTGTGACCTATAATGCTTGGTATATTTGGGTGTGACTTTCCTGGTGACCTGCTTCTTATTCTTATTTGAACAGGGTATGGCCCAGAAAATTACAGCCACGTTTTCTCAAATGTTGCTGCATTTAAATCATCTTTGTGACTTGATTAATTTTAGGCTATAAATTTTCCAAAAAGAACAGATCCCTTTATATAAGCCTAAATCCCCATTTTTCAGTGAATTTTTCAATGTCAAGAGTTTGGGCTGCAGTTCAAGTTTTCAATTTGATGTACAGTGTACTTAATCAAAATGTGAATTTGGTATATATCATCTGCCTGCTTCATATTTTTAAGCTGAACTACTAGAACTATAATATACTGTATATTAATTTTAAAAAGTAGATTAAAAAATTTAATCCTTCTTTCCTTTTAATATACAGTACATTACATTTATAATTTTACATATTATAGTTTCCACCCTTTGGAAACCTCAACTGATTTCAAGGAGATCATCACTTTTGATATTACTTGCATCCCAAAAGTGTAGTAATTTGTGGGGAAATATGGTATTCAAGGATTGAGAAATGAAATTAGACCTCAATAACATAAATGTCCATAAATAAAGTTTGTGTTCTCCCCATCTGAATTACTTAGAAAATGGTGTAATGCATAATTCTCTTGCAAACCTTATACTCTTTTAAAATATTTGGTATATTTTTCTTGGGAGCAAAGAAATTGAACAGCAAAAAATGTAACTTGATGCTTCTCAAAAATAAGTGAGAGACTAACTGGGTAAATGAACACACGGCTTTGAAGCTCACCATCCTGTCAAAACCTTCTTTCAGAAAAACATGCAAGTTCTCCTCAACTCAAATGTTTTTGTTGGCCTCCAAGTTTGACTTTGGAAGGCTGACTCCATTCAAAATTTAGATTCAAACTCCAGTGAGAGCTAAATTGAACCACATCACACAATGGATTTTCCTTGAATGTTCCAACTATTTAATCATTATTATGGCAAATATTAACTTTGAAAATCCAGAGAATGAGTCACTGGCAATTCTCTAACTTAAAGTTTGGAAAAAAGTTTGATAACAGTGCACACAAATAGACCTTCTGGCATAAAGATCAGAAAAAATAATTTCAAAATATCTAATGTTTAATAATTAGACTCGAAAACACAAATTTTTATATTTCCTAAAATAAAAGGGCAAAAATGAGATAATATAATACAAAACTCGCGTTTTTTTCTGATTTACCCCTTCAACGGAATTTCCCACGTCATTGGTGAAGTAAATCTGAAGAGTCACACCAGATACAATTGCCAAACAACAAAATGTTTATACGTTCGATGTGCACAGAGAGCGAAGCAAAATAAAGGCTCTCCATGTCCAAAATAATGCGTCAACAATATATTTTATTTCTTCAGGCCACATTGAAAAGCAAAGGAAAGAAGTAACGACCCAGCATAAAATTTCCAGTGAACTGTGGTCTTTACTCATGGATGTTTTTTGGTGAGGAACAGGAAGCAAACATTTTTCTCCCTTCCCATGTCACAACCCCCTCAGACTGAGTTCAAGCATAGAACCATTCGAAACGCTTATTCTTTTACCTCTATACGCCTTGATATTCTTCGCGTTACAATTCAAAATTTCTTTTTTCTCCCTCCCCCTTTGTACACCAACAGCCCCGACTTGAACTCACTTTAGTCCCGCAACACAAAATTGGAAACATGGTTTCACGAGAAACATTTCGTCCATCACATTTAGTCAATCGGAAAGTGCGAGATGACGAATATCGTTTTTGCGCATCAATACCGAAAAAAAAAAATCTCCGATACGTAGGACAAACCCGTCGAAATACACACACGTAGCGGCATCATCGTGGTAAGACAGAACACAAGTGCTGAGACACTAAGCTCACTGTGTGACGTTAAGCGCGGATACGCAGCGGTACTTTAATTCTTCCTGAACCGAATTTCTATACAATATGGGTAAACGATGATATAAAAAAAATGGCGACCGAAAATTCTGCCGATACCTTCGATTTGGAGCTGCATTTTCAGCTGAAAACGTCGGCGTTTGTTAGGGCCTTGGTTCAGAACATTCCCGGACGATCCCGTTCGTCTCCACCGACTTTCTCGAAGAACATGAAGTCCTGAAATGGAAATTTGAAGTTAAAATATGGCCATTTCACGATAAATTTACATACTGTACTTCAACAATACTGTAGTTTCATTAAGACTACCAGCGACATCTAGACACAAGCCGACTACTCGTCACTGTCATGGGACAAAATTGAACCAATTGACATCTATTGTACTGAACTACAGTACAGTAAACACTGTACAACCATCTGTGAGGGGGGCAGACAGAGCAGAAAATGTGTGTGGAAAAACATCCAAGTATTTACTGCAGTATCACACCCCCTTTTCTTTCAAAATTTAAATGAAAAACTGAGGGTGCACATCATACAAGTGGATCAAAATTTCAACATGTGCAAAACGTACTGTACCTCACACTTGAATAATATGGAAATTGTCGACTGGAGTTTTCTTCGAATCAAAACAAGTGAAAATTGAATTTCAGCAAAATTCTCTGGTGAAAAATGGGAATGAGTATCTTACTCAAGGGCATGTGGTAAAGTACTCAAGTATATGATGCACAGGATTGATTTTTCTCCTCGGGGACTTTCAAGAAAGTAACAGTATTTCTTGAATTACTGGAAACTTTTCTTAAATAAAATCAGAAGGCTTTGATTTAAACCCAGCAGTTAAACCATGTAAAGATTTCTGGTCTTTCTAGCGACATCTACTCACTATTAGGAAAACTGCTCCCAGCATAACCGCCTTCATGCGCACGTCCAGGTCCATAGGGAAAGAAACTCCGAAGTTATCCGTGTCAGTAAACGCTTCTTTCAACAATCCCGTCCATTGTTTCGAGATCTTCCCCACTTTCTGGTTTGTCGCCGCAGAACGAACCTGGCGACAAAAACCAAAAAATAGCTCCAGTAAATTCATTTTCACGTTTATAGAGAACAGGTTGATGAAAAAAGAGATTCTTCGAGTATTCACCGTGAATTCGACGTCTCCGCAGAGCGAAAACGTACACAATGGTCCTTCAATCTTCAAGATCGTGTTCCCAGATGCGTCTTTCACGGAGAACTGAGGGAACAAGATGCTCCAATCTTGCTCGATGGACCCGATGAGAGTCCCAGGAGGGGAAGTGACTTCCAATTTCTGCCAAATTCACGATTGCAAATGAATGAAAAATAAGATTTTTGAACTTCACTTTCATTCCAATTCCTTCCCGTGGAAAACAATACAAAAAAAACAACCACAGCGAACTGTTCAAAACCCCTTCTAAATCCTCGGCATTCATTCGATGAAAAAAACAGAGAGCGAAATAATACAAAACATGTGGCAAGCCTGACGGGCTTGACAAATTCTTTTTCTTTTATTTTTTTTAAATGCCGTAAATTTAGTTGAATTACGGGTAATACATCAGGAAACATTGGACTCACCTGTAGGCAACACGGAAACCAGCACGAAGAACAAGCCAGTGGACGATTCAAGTGGATCAACTCTTCCTTGTTAGCATCCATGATTCGCATGTCGAAAGGACGCCATGGGCCACAACAATTTCTTGTCAAGCAATCGGAATCCTCCACGGCGTAATATACCTTCTGCCCCAAAGAATTCTTCACGGTGTATTTATTCTTCGACTCGAAGCCCACAAATGCTGTGAACACAATAACGAAGTCAAATTCTGATCGAGGCTCGCATTATCCTGAGATAAGAAGATTCACCTTCCAGAAGCTCCACTTTTTGGTGTACCAATAACTGGTCAACCGCAGTGAGATACTCGAGTCCACGAGGAATATTCCCCGAGTGACTAGAAGTTGGCACCATCGTGATTGCGGAAACATCAGCACCTAAGGCGAAATACTCATTTTAAAAAATCAGAAAAAACTGCCACAAGTGCCGTTTCGTTCGTAAAACGGTGAACTCAGATATTTTGCGAGGCAGTCGGAGTAGGGTACTCGCTTCTAAATGCTGCTCCCAGCCATTCAATACTAATTATCAAGGGCTGAAATCAGCTTGAACTAACGTAACATCGTAAATCAGCCTTCATTCAAGATTATCCGGAATTTGCCGAGAGCTCTTTTGCTATAATGTGATAACAGAAAACTTCCGATTACCAGTTGGAATTTCTGAATAACAAGCATTCGAAGTGGCGAACAAAAACTATCATGACCGGAATAACCTCTCAGAAAGCATTTTCCTTCGTACATGGGATATCAGATGGGTTTATGACAGTTAGACTTGAGGGATGGATTACGAAAGTGAAGAACTAGAGCCGTCTGCAGGCGAAGGCCTCATCAAATCATCCACTCAGCATTTAATGATTTTTTTTAAACTTACCGTACGGCGGCTGTTGGCCTGGATGACCATACTGTGGTTGTTGTTGGCCCGGATGACCATACTGTGGTTGTTGTTGGCCCGGATGACCGTACTGTGGTTGTTGTTGGCCCGGATGACCGTACTGTGGTTGTTGTTGGCCGGGCGGACCATATCCTGGATAAGCGGGACCAGGAGGATAAGCCGGGTAGCTCGGGGCACCTCCGGGAGCCCCGGGAGGGCCATAACCACCTCCTAACGGAAAAATTCGAACACATTCACATCCTCATTCATATCACAGAACACACTCACTGTTCTCACCTGTAGTACTCCAACCAGCTGGCGGTGCAGACATTCTCACTAGAATGAGTCGCGGTTCAGTCGGACGCTAGAATTAGAATACGAACGATGACGAAACCTCCGCGAATGACGTTGAATGCACCTGATCATGTGATAAGGGAAGGCATGAGTCATCATTTACAATGAAATACGTCCTGATGCAAGATACACTATCAAGGAAATCTGCGTCAGAGCAGGGAACATTGTTCACATTTGTCAGAAGCCTTGCCGTACACATTCAAGATGCGGGAAACTATTAACTCAAACAGAATACGAAGTCAATATACGAACTGCGCAATTCGTCTAGTCAACGGTGAGCATTCTTATTAGATCCGCAGAGCTTACGAAAATGATACTGTAACTTCCAAATACGAAATGGCAGTCACGCGCATTCTTCGACTTCGCGTCTGGACTTCTAACTGTAGAGCAAACAAACAAAAAATTACAGGTGGTTCATTCGCTTTTGTAAACAAGGTGCTTGATGTAACACACAAATATATCCGCGAAGTACAGCATCCATTCATTCAGTGGTTCCGATGAGACAAAGAGCAATTGTTTCGGACAGAGCTTCATGTAACTCAAACCGTGGCGGACCATTCATTGTTAAGAGCAAAGTTTTAAGGCCAGCTAGCACACTCAGTTACAGTGCGCAAAGTAAACAAAGCGTACAGTACAATACAGGACAAGTACAGTACAGGATCAAGTACAGTACAGGACAATTCATCTTATGCATGGTATCCACACCACATTCTTATACCCAGCGAATCTCGAAAATCTGGATAAACAATGGGAGCTGTCACTGCACTAAACTCAAACCCTGAAGTCTGTCACTAGTGTGCGTAAAAGAGAGAGTGATGAGGATAGGGAGTGAGGGGATGGGGGGTCCAGTGGAGTGGAGTTCCGCTGGCGTGGGTTCTTGCTCTGGCGAGAAACTACACCACCGAGCTCTCTACTTTTACACAGAGCGCAAAGTAACTGTCGTGGATGCCATGCTTTGCTGTATGCCGAAAATCTTCCTGTGTACGGTCGGCATCGTGACTTTAGTTCGTGGTTGGAATCGGTTGTTGAAGTATCCTGTGGAGCTTGAATAATTTCAATGTCCTGTCATTTCAACTAATTCAACCACTTAGGTTAACGCGTCAGAAAATGGTGAAAACGCTACCCGCGAAGAAAGGGAACTCGAAGAATAAAGCTGTGATAAAAGTTTCGGCGAAGAATGAACTTCGTAGAAAACGAGAGGTAGCTGGAAAGCTTCGAAGGAAAAATAGGAAAATCAGTCGTTCGAAGAAACGGAAAGATAAGTTGAAATCTACGATTGATCCGGGAAGTACCGAAAAAGTCGATGGTGAGCATGAAGATTTGGACGACCTCATGGACATGCTCGACCCTGAATATAAGTCGACGGCGCGGGAAAAACATCGTGATGTGGAGTGAGTTTTTCCTTGAATCCATTCTCAGCGTCATGTGATTATCCTCTTCAGTCGTGATGGTTCAAATTCAACTTTTTCGTAGGAATTCAGAGCAAATCGAGGATGATGCTGAAGTTTTTGAAAGGGCGTATATCAATCAACGCATGAGAATGTATGATGGTCAGCGTAAAAAGAATCTTCTGCCGATTAAAACCTCGGAAGGATTTGTTGCTCGAACAAGAGGTTCGTGCTTCAGAATTATTTTGAGTCATCTGTTTTCTGAGATGCATTGTTCGAAGCAGAGGAGGAGGACGTTGACGAAAAAGAAGACGATGACTCTACTAGGATTGAAAATGAAGAACCAGAAGAAACTGTGCACCTTACGGAAGAAGAACGCAGAGCAAAATTTGCCGCGAATGTTGAAGAAATGCGCATCAAAATCGGTGCCTGGAGCAGTTCACTTGTTGAGGATCCTGAAAATAATGTATTAAATCTCCCATCAACTTTTTATCGCAAATCTGAGTGACTCCGACGTTTATTCCAGATCGAACATTTGAAACACATTTTGGCGATTCTGAACGAAGGCAGGTCTTCGGTCACTCCGGGACTGAGGCAACTCGCAGCAGTTTCTTTGAAAGAAGTGTTCGTTGATATAATCCCTGGATACTGCATTCAGTCTCATGACGTCGAATCGAAGAAAGGTGAGTCCGGTGATGCCCCAAGTTATTCAATGCTTTGACTCATTTTTTGTTGATGTTCCAGTCAAGAAAGAAACGTTGAAACTATGGAAATTCGAGAATGATCTACTTCACGCCTACAAGTCTTACCTGACTAAACTTGAGAGCTTTGCTGGATTCTTCAAGCGCCATATTTCTAGTCAAGATCCGGCGAATCCGAACTTGATTTCAAATTTCGTAAGTTCGAATCTTTTTTTATTTTTAATTGAAATGCTTCATTTATTCTGTTCACAGCGTACTGGTATCGTTGCGGTGAATTGCATGAAAGACCTACTCGTGGCGCATCCACAATTCAACTATGCCGTGAATTTGACGAAAATAATTGTGAACTTGGCTGCTCATCCACATCCGGAAATCGGGCTTCCGTGCAACAAAGCTCTGACTCTTTTGTTCAGACAAGACAACGTTGGTGAAGTCTCCCTGCAGGTAATTTTATTTTTTCGGATATTTCAAGGGGTAATTATTATAAAATTTTCCGTTGCTGTTCTTCTACGTTTTCGCTCGAACTTCTAGAAATTTGATGCTGTTTTTGCTTTAATTCAGTAATCGCAGTGGAACAAAGAAAATGATTTACTTCAACTCTTGCGTTTTCACTTCATTTTGTAGTATGAATCAATTTTATTGAAGCGTTTATCAATAAGATTACTAAGATATCCAATTTTTCAAAGGATGTTTCCCCTTATGTCACATTGCTGCACGTGTGTGGAAGGGTACCGTCGATGTAATGAACAAAATCTTCAGTAGAACTTCGGAAATCGAGAAAGAAATTGAATTTTTGAAAGTAATTGAACATTAAATTGTCCGCAGGCAGTGAAGCAGTTGTACGCATTATCCAAAAAGAAGAATTATCTTTTACCTGCTCGATTATTTGAGCCGCTCCTCGCCTTGAGATTACACCACGTGAAAGCTGACGAAGAAGTACGAGCGGAGATGCAGCGAAAAATCTTGGATAAGCAGCAAGAAAAGCGTCTTTCACGCCGTGAGCAAAAGGTATTGTTGATTGTAATTTGAGTAGGATTAGTGTGGTTAATTACATATGAATTTTTCTTTCAAGGAGCGAAAATTGGTGAAAATAGTGAAGAAAGATCTAGAGCTGACGGACGCTGAAGAAAGTGCGCAGAAGAAGGAAAAATTTCAAACAGAAACTTTGAACGTCGTTTTTACGATTTATTTTCGAGTGTTGAAATCTCGCCCGAATCCGAAGCTGCTTTCAGCTTGCTTGGAAGGTCTCGCAAAGTAAGTTCAAGACACGTTTTGGATATTTTTATCTTTTACTCCATGAATCGTGTGAAGTTTCCCTTTCGAATCATTGCTCGACATTTTTCAACAATTTCATTTTGCAGGTATTCGCATCTCATAAACTTGGATTTCTTCCCGGATTTGGTGAATGTTCTTCACGAGTTAGCATCACAGGCGCTTGTGGATGAAGCAGACATGAATGATGATGATGATGATGAGTGTGACAGTGGTTTAGGAGAGGAAGATGACAAAGCAATTCGAGTAGGAGCCCGATTGAACGCTTGGCAGGCGTTGCATTGTGTGAGAGCAGCGTTTTCGATCGTGAGCGGAGAAGGAAAGTCCCTAGCGATCGAACCAATTCGATTCTACGCCTTGCTTTATTATGCTTTGCTGGCCGTGAATGCGAGTAAGTTCTATGTTTCTCTCTTGTCAAGTGCAGCACTTTATTAACTCTTATACTTTACCGTATTAATTTGTGTACCATAAAGCATTCCCACCTTTCTTTTCTCAAAATTGAGAGGGTAAAAGGGATTGCGCGTCATAGGTGGGTATAAATTTTTAAAACATTTCTTGAAATTTAGGTGTGCATAATATTGAATTCTAATGGGAAACTTGGGACCAAATAAAAAATACTTATTGCCATGGAAATAATTGCAGATTAGTAGAATTCATGATCAATCTATGTCAAAATTCAAATTTGCGTGTTCTTATTTTTAAAATACTGTATTGCAGATTTAGTCACTAAAAATGCGGTGCCCATGTTACTTAGGAATAAAATTGTACATACATTTTTGACCAAAATACTGTGCTACACATCTTACTTGAGGGCATGTGGTGCTTGAGTAAATATGGTACAGGTATTAATTCTTTTAGTATCAAAATTATGGACTTCTACTGACCATTACTGTATTTACCCAGTCCATCTCTCTTTTTTCAAAAGCATTGTATTCAAAAGTTGAATTAACTTTGTGTTGCTTGAAATTTGAATTATTTTGCTCCAGGAAATTCTGTTTTTTTTATGTAATTTTCTAAGAGGTTTTTATGGTATCAAGTAAATGCAGTAATCAAATATTTGACCAAGCTGTATAGAATAGGTGATGTTTAGGCTGTGAAAATTTATTTATTTAGGAGAATAAATAATGATGAAATTTAATACTTTATCAAAAATATTTAATATTGCGTTAGAAATAATTTACTAAATAATAATAATAATAAATAACAAAATTTTCACATTTTATTCCAAGAAATTTTCATGATTTTAAAAATAACATGAATGATACTGTTGAAAAAATAAAAGTTGATAAAATCTGTGGACTCCCTTCACACCCTTGATCTCTCAACCGAAAGCCCGTTGTGTTTTGTAGCAACTCCAGTGCGTGATCAATCAGCAACTTTGGACACATTGGTAACAGCGCTGACGGATAGACGGAAAGCTTTGTCGACCTCCAGGTGCCTCGCGTTCTGTAAGAGGTTGCTCACCATGGCAACGCATCACGCTCATCCCATGGCTTTAGCGTATATGAACGTTTGCCGCGTTTTCATGACGGTTCGTCCTATATTGCTTGAGATGTATGGAATTATCCTAATAATGCTAAATTTTTTTTTCTAAAATTAGACCCATAAAGCTACTTCGAGCTTGGTTGATTTTGGGGACGACGGACCAGCAGGAAAGGATTTGTTCAATCCTGAGAGCCGGGATCCGGAACACAGTATGGCACAAACTGCGATTGCGTGGGAGCTGGGTGTGCTTCAGGTGACTTTGATTAACGTTGGTTGTTCGAGAGATAGAAGGAGATTAACTTTCATTTCTCGATAGGAGCATTACAATCCGGTTGTATCGAAATTCGCGAGGCATTTGGCCTGTGGTTGCCCGCCATCTGGGAAAGGACATTTGCCAATGGAACTCGCCAAACTGTGAGAAATCGCTCGTCCAGAATTATTCACGTTTCGAGAAAGAAATAAGTTTTCCCCATGGCAAGGAGAAATCATTTTTTTAGTGCCTAATTTCCAGGGTTTTTATTAATTAATAAAAGTAATGTTAAAGTAGAAAATATTTGAGGAATTGAGATTTATTTAAGGAAATAATTTCAACATGACAAGTGAATAGGCTTCTGACTCAAACTAGCTTACCCAAGAAACTTTAAGTTGTAGCACTTACAGCGAGAGGCCCGAAAATGATGCTAGAGCTCATTTTATGTATGTTTTCGGGGAAGGTGGAAGTGGTACAGTATTACTGCTGGTTAATGTTGTTCATTTTCCTCTTAATTATTTTCCCGCTGCAGAAACGTGAAAGAGATTTTCGACGAATTCGCCATGGGAGATGGAACACGATTCCGTCCAGTGATTCCACTGCCGCAACCGCCGACAGAGAAGTGTTTCAAGGGACGTTCGCATGTTTGGAAAGACCCCGAATTGCGGCGACTGGCGCACGAGGCGGCAAGTGCCAAGTGCGCCTTTGCAAAATTCGTTGTGACGAAATGAAACGCGTTTTTTGTCTCGTGTTTTCGCGTTTCATCCCATGAGAGAGTACTTTTGTAACGTCTCAGTTTAAGAATTTTTCAGTTTCTTTTTTGTGCAGAGAATAATGGAAGAAGTGAAAAAGTTTCCGTCAGAGCAAGTGTCGGTGTTGGCGCGTCGCAGAAAACGCGCGGAAAGCCAAGCGAAGGAAGCCAAGAATTTTGCGAGAGTAAGTTATTTTTATAGCATAGAAGCATGCTCGATGAGTATCCTGTTTTGAGCATAAATTAATTATTTTCTTACATTGAGATCTGTCCTGGATAAAATGCTGTCAAAGCTTAAAGATGAATTCACTTATTGAGGTATTTTCGAACGCTTAATTTCGTAATGTGATGGGTTTTTTATGATGTAACCCGTCATGAATCCTTCGAAAATAGAAATTTTCAATTTTGGATTGCCTATCAATGTTGGAAAAAGCATGTTCGCATTGATTTCGTATTGTCGTGACAATTTTGGTAGATTATAAAAGCTTGATTATAGTTTCTTATTGAACGCATCTGAGAAGTTTCCGACATCAATACTTTTCGAAGGAATTCATTATCCGAGGAATATTTCATGTATCGAGATTTCCTCTTGAAACGAGTGCACTAGGACTGCTACAGGTGGACCCTTACAACGAAATTTAAGGGACCAAAACCAAAAAAAAATCGTTTTAGCGAGTACTTTCAACATTTGGAGAAAAACCTTGTGGTATCAAAAAATTCTTTGTAAAATAGTAAAAACAAAGACGTCGTGGAGAGTTCACCATTTTGAAACAGTAAAAAAATTATTCTTGAGGGAAATTTTAAATTTCAGTGTAAATTATCCCCCTTCGAAAATGGCTGCTCAAACAACGGAAATTCAAGTTCTATCCCATGTGCTAACCGTATTAGGCCTACTCTTAATCGTATTGATTGAATTTCTCTTGACGGAAATTGACAGGCCCGGAAAATCGACTACAAGAAGAAAAAGAGAACGACATTCAAGCACTTGGAGGAGTTCATCCGAAGGGCAGAGAACCGGATCCAAGACGGGTACCGTGTCCAAAGCTCGTTACAAAGACGAAGAAACCTCGAAAATGGGCTCGGTGACCTCGTCGTCGTAATCATGATTCGCCCCGTCGAAGGCAATCATCCCAGCGTGAAAAAGGTCATGTCGTTGCTGCGACTCTCTGTCGTCAACTCTGCCGTTTTTCTCCTCGTGAACCCGGCAACCCGGCGATTGTTGCAGATTGTCGAGCCCTACGTTACGTGGGGCACGCCTGGTGTGAAAGTTGTGCGGGATTTGTTGTACAAGCGTGGGAATTGTTACGTGAACGGGAAACGAACGCCGATCGTGTCGAACGAGCTGGTGGAGCTTTCCCTCGGGGAACATCAGGTGATTTGCATGGAAGATTTGTTGATGCAGATTGTGACGAAGGGATCCGGTTTTGAGCATTGCGTTGACTTTTTGGCGCCGTTCAGGCTAAATTTGCCGACCGGTAATTGGAAGAAATCTAAGGAACTCTTTTCAAAGGGCGGTGAATGTGGTGACAGAGGTGAAGAGATAAATGGTTTGTTGGAGAGAATGATTTAGTTCTGTCGGTTAATAATAAAATGATGGGAATTTTTCCACTTCAAGTTGGATTTTTTTTTTACTGGCATGCGAAGAATTATTATTCCTGTGATCTCATGAAATATGAGCTCTGGGTTGGGGTGCATGTGTTGAGATGAATCAGATCAAAGAGCGTTTCGCTATCCCCATTAGAGCCAAAATTATAGATCTTTTTTATTCATCAAATTGATAATGATATGTCCAATTTTTTGGGGGAAAATGTGCAAGTTCTTGAGAAGCGAATTTGCAGTTGAAAATTTCATTTAGAAAATCAATTTTAATTCAACAGATCCAATTTTCGCCATCAAAAACTTGCTTGGAAGAAAATTTCTAGGATGTCGTCCAAGTGCTGAGAAGCAGGTGATGTTTTAATATGAGTCAAGTAACACTTGAAAATCGCAAGGTTTTAGAAAACTTCTTTCACTAAATAGAAAAAGAAATTGCAAAATGTAGTACAGCAATATCAGCACGTAAGGACTTATTTGCCGTTCCAATGGAAAATATGTACTTTATTCTTATAGCCTGTACACAGTACTTGCTAGGAAACAAATTTGAAGCATGTATTGGAAAATATATTTGGGAATCATACGCCTGAACAATTTGATTTCTTTTCTAAACATTTCATTGATTAACAATCCATAAACAATTCAAAGCTTCCACCAAGGCACCTTGACATTAATCTTATTGTCATTGAGATCTTCACATGCCTTGACCTGTGAGTACTGAGCAAACATTTTTTTTCCTTGCGTCAAAAAGATTTCAGGAGGCGAGATTTTTTGTTGCAGTGACATCTGCCCTTTTATTTTATTGAGGTTTTAGTAAAGGACTGAGTTGGTAGTGTATTTTCCTCAAATCTGACTAAATGTGCGACAAATTCGGGGCATATATTATTAGCGTAGCTTTACTGGATACTTCTCATGATGTTCAGATGTCTAGGGATCCCTTCATAAGTGTTCCCTGACGCGTGAAGTCTGCTGCCTGAACATCCGTCAGATGTTCGGGGGCAGCTGGTCCTTTCAACGCTTCTGGGAAGTAGCTGAACAAAAGCTGAAGAAATTAAGCCCCTCCAAGGTTATTGTGAACAGAGCGCGTGCATTGGTCTGTTTCGAAGAGCATTTTTTACGTGTGTTGTGAACCTGCGGAGCTCTCTCTGATCAGTGTAAATTGTTGTTATCATTCGAGGAGAACCGATTGCGCAAGCGCGGTTGAGCTTGGCTTGTCACCTGAAACAAGTTGAAACGTGTTCCCGAATGAATGGATTTATTCTCTCGCTCGTACTTCGAGCGCAGAGACTCGTTCACATAAATTTAAAAGGTTCTTCACATGAGATCCTTAATGATCGTCTGAAAACCTCTCCTTGGCACGGCCACCCTGGCGCGGGTTCTGTAACTCTGGAAAGTTGCGATACATCGGGGGATAATCCGCGTTGACGGGTCGAGGGTGATGGTGTGGCTGTCGATTCATTGAGTCTTGCGCACTGGACCTGTCTAAATTAACTGGGGGCCAGGACGCAGCAGCGTTAAGGTCTCCAATGGAATTATCAAATGAAACTTCCTTTGTTTTGGGTGCGTCTTCCTTGGGTTTATCCTTGTCTTTCCCATTTCCCTCCTTCTTCGCCTCCTTGCCATTGCCGTTCTCTTTCTTCTCAGCCTTTTTTTCCTTTCCGTTTCCAGATTTCTCCGCACCTTTTTTGCTCTCAGATTTACCTGTGCGCAGAGGAAAGTTTGCTGATTTATGTTCTATCACCATGTTTCAACAGCATTTACCATGACTTTTAGTTCCCGGACCATGACCTGGTTCATAGCCCTCTGGCAGCGCATTAGCGTGTGGATTATGGAAAAACGTTTTGTTGCCGTCCCCCCAAGGGAACCTCTGTGAATTTCCAGGTTTATAGAGAGGAATTTTTATTATTGCTTAGCATTCCCGACCTTGGTTCTTATTCGAAGATGCTCGTAAGGAATGAATTCCGGGGGATCATGCGGGTGGTTCTTGATGTCCATGGCTGTGCTGACGGCGCATAAGCCAATCGCTGGAAAAGCTCCGAAGAATGTTAAGCGTTTCCAGAGTAATGCCCCTCCTATAGAAGGAAAGAGTGACGTTTATGCAAGCATATAATTAATGTTCGTCCATTTGGAAGTTCTAAATCTTTCACCTTGATGCCCACCGCCACCTGATTTGTTTTGTAGCACATTTGACTGAGCGATTCCGCGCCGCAGGAAAGAGGTAGCTTGAATAGAGCCCCTCATTTTATCCAGAACACAGGATGATAACTTAAAATTCACGTTAAAATCCTTCACTAAGATTAAACAAATGAAAGGAAACACATGTCAGATTTTGAAGATGTTGGTGCGTTCAATAACCTTCATTGTTGCAAGGCCTAGCGTATTTCAGGTTTAATTATGACTCACTATTTATTGCGCGAACGTGAGAAGTGTGTACATTTTAGAAATTTGTAAGAGATTGATTGAGAAGTTCACCCATTGTCTTTTTTAAATTCAAAGCTTTGCAATGACACACTGCAAATAATTTGGGTTCTATATTCGTGAAGCCTCTCGCGAATATAATTTTGCAAACGAATCGTTTCCCCAACCAGGATTTCCAGACGCAGAATCAATATTTTGTTAGGGAAATGGAAAAGTGATCCCTTACCAGTTACCAACCAAATGTTGTGATTCTAAGGAACGGTCATGCGAACAAGGGTATCATTGTGACTGAATTGTCGATGGAAAAATCAATCAGCAAAAAATTGGCACATGCTTTCCAGTTGCCAGTATCAACTTCAGGTCATGTTTCGCATCAGAAGTGATGACTTCCGACGAATAGAGGATATACTGAAAGGAATTTTGTTACGTCTGTGATCCAAATGACATTTTTTGAGTGAAAACTGGAGAAAGTGATCTTCTTTGAGATAAAATGCGTCGATTTTAACGAACAAAACGACCAGTTTTGAAGTCGTGATTTGTTGGAACAAAAAATGGCAATGACCCTCCAGCTGGAGGATTAAAGGAAGTGATCAATGTATTTCTGGAAAACGTTGAAAACTCCTTTCCTATGCTGGCTGGAATCACGGACGTGTCTTGAAGGGCAATCTATTTTCTCTAACCACAGAATGTGGGCATGTTGAAAAAAAAAAGAAGGAAAATAAAATAACCTGTCCTGGTGTCCGTGAGGTGATGTGATGCGTCGCAGATGGTTTCCTTTGCATTATGTTCGCGGCGCGAGTTAAGCGCGCATCAAATTGCGTTGTGCGCGGTTATTGCGCTGAACTTGACAGCGAAAGCTGTTTCATTCACCTGACAGTTGATGGAGGACTGAGGACCGTGCTCTCCGTGATTTTTCTGGGTTATTCAGTGTTATAAAAGCTTCTTGTGATGCCCATTTGTTTCAAGTTTTTTTTAAGATTTTTACCTCTTTCGAAAATTGAAATGAACGTGTCCAGTTACCATTCGTGCAAGGCCTTCTCTGGCTTCACGGCTTCAACTGTGCCCTTGAATTTTTCAACCGAGTCAATAAACTGCTACTTTTTTTATTACCTTTTAGGTATATTAGTTTTTTCTTCGTTCATGATGCGCCCGATTTTTCCATCACCTGATCTACTTCTTGAAATAATGCAAGTCTACGTTCATTATTATGCACAATTTCTCCTACCAACGATTGAAAAATCCCACGTTGATACATTTTCCACAATTATCAGTGAAACGAAGCGTCAAGAAATATTGTGCTGTTGTGCTACTCGATGTAGGAGAACGCTTTTCTCTGAAGTGCCGTGTGATTTAAAAATGGCTTTCGATCTTCAAAAAATTTACGAGTGTGAAAGACGAATGATAGAGCTTTATCGAAGAATGCTGAAAAATGCAGGCTAGACTTTTTTTTTATTTTAACGACTAAATAATATGTTCTTGGCGTTTTAGATGTTGAATTGAGTGTGTTCTTTCCAATATTTTCGGCAATAAGCGAGAGGATATATTTTCAGCACAAGGTATCTTTCAGGTTAGACTTACAGTTGATAAATTTTCCTTGAAGTTTGTGTGAGAAACTATGTCTTTTCCTTGATCAGTCTTGCAATTGATTGTCTTTGGCGACATCGTGTGGGATACAACTATGATGTACAGTACAGTATAAACTGCAAAATTTATAATTATTTTAAATGCATAGAAAGATGAAGGAACGTGTGTTGTTTATATAAACTCAAAATAATTCGTCAAAGTGTTTGAATGCTTATTCTTAAATGAGAATCGGTCGGAGTCTCGTTGGGTTATAACCAATTCGAAAGCCATCAGCCCGATATTCATTTTAATCCGTGTATCTGCGAGAAATTTGAGTGTCGTACGCCTTTGAATACTGCAATCAATTTATTTTGTAAAAATGTATGCTTTAATTTCGTCCGAATTCGAGTGGTTTCGAGCGTTTCATTTTTTAATCTGCTTCTTCGTCTTTTCAGGAAAAAGTGATAATCCCAACTATGGTGCGTAAACTGAATCCGTCCCGAGCAAAAAACAAAACAAATGTGTTGATTGTGTTGCATTCCTGTGTTGTGATTTTGTTATTCGCGCGGTGCTGTCTGTCAAGTCAGAATATTAAGCTATTTTCGGATGCCGACATGAAGGGATTCAGTATTAACTTCAATGACTACGACGAGAATCTCACGAGAGTTGAATTCAACGACATCGCCACCAGTGCTTGTGTGAACGGGATGTGAGTTGAAAATAACGTTTATTTAATTAAATGTACAACGCCGAAGATTTTATCTCGCAGTCTCTTAATTTTTTATGGCATAAAGCAGAATAAAAAAGGTGCATTTTTAAAGTTCGATTGGGGGAACATTATTGGACCCCCTCAAGTTCGAATCATAGTTTTATATGCGAATCTATCCCGTTATTGGAATACGCATGGATTTGTTGTCGACGAAGTGATTTATTTTTTTTTAATATTTTAGATGGTTCCTGTATGAGCAGCCGAAATTTGGTCCAGACGGAAATGGCTTCGTGGAATTCGCGTGGGGCGATGATCATTGTTTCAACATTGATCCGATCGTGGATAACAAAGTGTCTTCTGTGAAATACGCAGGTGTTTAGTTGGATACAAAGCACGTGGGACATTGTGCTGATAGCGGGAATCTTTTTTTTTTGTGCGTGTTCTGTTTTCTTTCCAGGGAATTTCCATGACTGGCGCCAAGACATGATCACCCTGTACACGCACCACTGGTTCCAGGGTGATGAGTTGTATGACGAAACGGATCAGCGGGTCCTGCCTGCAGGCGAAATCATTGCCAAATCCGCTGTCATTGCCGGATTAAGCAACTGGACGATTTATGAGTGCGTACCTTTAATCGAAAATGTTTTTCTCTTTCCCTTCGTAACTGGTAAGCTTTCATGTATAATATTCTTTTCCTTCAAGTTGCTCACGCATTATAAACTTGGGAATGCAGCACCTTTCAGTCACTTAATTACGGTTACACAGTTTCGTTCGTATTTTTTCTTTCCCCCCCCCCCCCCCCCCCCCCCTCGCAGGAATTTCTGCTGCAACTTGTGCAATTTTCTCGAGTTCTTCGAAATGCCTTTTTCAAAACGTGATGAATTGTGAGCAACGAGTTCTAGTTTCCATTTTGGGAGCAGGCTGCTCTAGTTTCTTTCGGTGTGCTACTTTTACGAAGTCTATCTTGTCATAGTAAAAAAAAGAGGAATTATACAAATTGATTTGAGTTTTACGGGATCGAGTTGAAAAAAGGCGCGCACTGAAGTCGCTTTACTGTATTTTAGTAAATACGAGCTACGATTTGAAATTTAGACGAATAAAATTGGAATTCAATTGTCTTCATTTGTTTCGGTTTCACATTTTCATCTGTCAGTTTCATTTGAGAAAGTATGAAGTTTTACTCATGCTAGTCACTAAAATATGCACTTCTTTAAATGGTCAGTGCTTTTTCGGAGGAAACTGGTTCCATGATGATGCTGAAAAATTTTCCGGTGTGTGCGTCATGAGAAACGGAATTTTTTTTTCCTGGAAGGATGACCGGATGGAAAGAACACTCTTATCATTGAAATATGGAAACGAGAAAAGTTTTCTAACCCACGTGCCCAAATTTAACTTCTGTTTACGTAATTTGAAAAATACTGTAAATCTGAAATTTTGGAAATTTCATTGAAATTGAAAACAGAATTGCTTTCTCGAAATGACGAGGAATGAATGGTCACACCGTCTTGGAAGAATTTTTTGACTGTTGAATGCTGGTATGTACAGTATTACAGTATATGATAACTGCTTGTGGAAGACGTAAAGAGTTACTGTACATTATTCAGTACCGCACGCACAAATTCAGAGGAGCTTTCCCAAGAATGGGAACCAATTACAAATTTGTGTTGCGGGGCATTTAAATCTGGAAATATTGATTATAAGGTGTCCCAAAAAATTCTGGAGCAAAATTCTTGAGTTCACTAAAAAACTTATAAAATAAGTGAAATGGAAATATTAAATTCTTTCTATTCTTTGTTCATTTTTTCAGCTATTGTGTGAAGAAGGTCTGAAGAAAAGTGTGTGCGATTTTCTTGTCCGTTTTTTAAATGATATTATCATCCATGATACGAAATCATGTTTTACCATTTGACAGCAATTAAATGGAACTTTCAAGTTGAATGAGACCTCATATTTCCAGCTTTTACCCTGTGAGAATTGGTCCAACTTTCTGTGGACACCCTGTATGATTACTGTTCTGGTGTGTGTGTATGTCTTATTATCAAGGTCGTTGGAAATTAATTTTTCATTTGTTCATTTAAACCACAAATATTCAATTAATTTTTCATTTATTTACTATCTTCAGAAAAATGTCTGCGATTTGTGATCTGTTTTTCAAATGAAAGTACAGTATCATCCATTATATGAAATTATATTTTACAAATTTGAAATCAATTGAACCGCACTTTAAAGTCGAATGAGACTTCAACTTTTCAGCCTTTGCTCGATGAGGATTGATCCAAAATTTTCTGGACAACCCTGTATGACGACTGTTCTGGTGTTCGTGTGTGTGTGTGTGTGTGTCTTGTCAAGGTCTTTGGAAATTAATTTCCCACTTATCTATTTATTTATTCATTTTTTACCCCTCAGGGAGAAAGAATATACTGGGCAAGCCTGGTGTCTTCAACCGCAAGATGCGACCGGAGCCGCTCCTGGGTTTTTCACGGAACTTGCCAAAGAAGGCGTGACTGTGGTGAGATCCTTCCGCAAGGGTTGCGACTCGGACAGAATACCAAAGGCGTTGCAAGTGACGAAGAGCGAACAGGGCAAGAATGACCATGAGCAAAATTGCTGCTGATGATGAAGCCGCCCTGTTTTCTCTTGTCTCTTGGCCACGGAAATACGTCAAGAGGTCGGCATTTACCCGCATACATGAAGTACAGTAACCAAATACCCGCACTTCTTGAGCAGCTTGACGGAATTGAGTTTTTTTTTTTTAAACGACTGGGGCATTCTAAAAGTTGCTCGACTTTTTTTGTCTCAGAATTTTTCCTGTCTTATTCATCATTAGAAAAGGCGTTTTTTCTCTTGGTTGTCTCACCCCGAAATTCCGAGGATCCCTCATGTTGGGTTGACTGACGTATTTATTCGGCGAAAGGAAACACAAAAATGCTCGCGGGGTTTCACGCCTTATGGTGGAAGGGTTACTGTTTGAAGGAAACTCAATTTTTTTATGTTCTGAACCAGCGAACGAATAATTTTCATGACTTTCACGATGCAGCCGGAACGATGAACTTTGCGATTGATGAGAGAGAGAGAAGGGATTCTCTCGATTAATTTTTGTTATGCCTGTCTTTTTATGCGTATGTAAATTTGTTTCGCCTTGGTAAAAAAAAAGCTGCGATGACTCAAGTTGCAGACCTACCTCAAGTCTTCCTTGGGTTCCGTGCTGTTTTTTTGATCAGAAACCGAGTGAAAACTGGAATCAATCCCTGGGCGAACGCGAGTCCGCGGTTGTGCATGGTGCTGCAATTCCGAAACGTGTGATGTGTGAAGTCATCGCCTGATTTTTTTTTACCGCATTGAATTCCTCATGCTACCAGTTTCTTTCAGCAAACTCGCGGGGAATATGAAATATAATGGCATATCTTCACAAAATCTTCGTCTGTGCTTTACAATGGAGTTTGACCTAATAGCTGAGTTGAGCCTCTCGTGCATGTCAAGTTTTTCCCGTCTCGGTCTGGATTCCCAAATTGCAATTTCTTGATCTCCATTAATCAAATGCTTTCATTTAAAATCTTCATGCATGCAGTTGAACCTTGATATATCAAACTTCAGTAAGTTGATTAACTCCTGAAATCAATTTTTTTGTGAGTCCATGTCTGAATTTACTTGAAGCCAAGGTAAATGGAGTGGACGCATCACTAACTTGGACGCTTTTTTTTGTCAAACCCCTGTAACTGAAAATTTCTGAATGTCTTCCAGGTACTGTATTACTTCTTTGACACAGGAAAGAGAAAAACAATCAAAATTTTACCTGATGTGTTTTTGAATGAAAAAAAAAAACTAATGGGGCAAATAAACCCTTGCCTCCAAGTTAAGCATTTTTTCTGTGACTGTTAACCAAACTTGAATTTTTGCTTGTGCCTTGAAATTTGACTTTCTTGAGACCTTTGGGCTATTATTCTGGGATCCAAGGAAATAATGGAAGAATAAACATCTAAATAAATTAGATTCTTTGTGCAAGCAAGAAGTTAATGAACAATTGTGCAAATGTATGTATGTAGGTATGCTTTGAAGTACTACAGTATATTCTGTCAACTCAATTACTCAGGAGTTCCAGGCTGAAAATATTAAAATTTGCTGTCTTGTAATTTTTCAAACTTCTCTGTCTATAGTTTCCCTAGGTTGGTTCTTGTCCTGAGTTCAACTTTAACAGAAATGATCTCAATTAAATCAAGAAGGTTCCTAATGAATGGGGTTCTCTCTGTCCAATTTAATTATGCCTTACAAAACTTTCATGCAAAAGGAATTTTAATTTTATGTACAGTAATCCGGCGATGGTTTGAGGTGACCCTGAAATGTTTTCAAATCGGTGGGGAGGGTGCATTTTGCCTGAATTATCTGTCGATCGAAAAGAAGTGAAGCAGCTCAATCCACACTCGAGAAGGCAGCTTCGTTCATTCACAAGGGGAGATCTGAGAGAAATGACGAGAAACGGGAGAAACCTGACAAGTTGGTTACAACTTACAACTGGATTCTACATGTATCCCGGAAGCTCTATTTGCAAGATGGCCGCGATCGTAAGATAGCAACTCTTACGAACTCCGTGATTAAATTGATCACTGAAGTCGCGCTACTGAAATGACCTGTGATTGTCACTGAATTCTCTTGTGCTGTGTAGGACGGAAGTGCAGTTGTGTAGAACCAAAGACGAGTATTTTGCACGTTTGTATTTGTGTGAGCGATTGGTGATTCAACTCAGCCAGTGCTCGATATGAGCCAGCAATCTTCAGGCGCAACCACGGAAGACAAAGGAGTTTCCGTAACTCTCATGCCAAGTATCATGATAGAGACTACGGAAAATCAAATTCTTGAAGTCGGAATGTACCCACTCGTCAAGCATTCCCCAGTGATACGAAAGATGCTCTACACCTATTGTAAGTTTTGACTTTCGAAACAAATAACCTCGGCCAAAATTTGATAACATGTTTTACAGGCAGCAACCCCCAACTGCTAGACCCTGTCCTGAGATTAGACCCCGGATTTGATACACCAACCCTTTTGAAGGTAATTGAATGGTGTGATCATTATCGGGATTGGGATCCCTCTGTACCGATGGAGCTTTCTGAGATCTCAGATTGGGATGCGCAGTTTCTCAAAATGGATATGAAAGCTTTATTGGAGGTTGTTAAGGTTAGTCCTGATTTAATCGCTGCGCACAATTCTTGATTCTAACTCGATATCTATTTTAGGCTTCGTATTATCTGGAAATTGACGGACTCGGGGATGTTACATGCCATGGACTTGCCCAGCTCATGGAAGGCAAAAGTCCTCAGCAGTTGAGAGAAATGTTCAATATTGTTAATGATTTCCGAAGTGACGAAGAAGTGATCGCCCGCGCCTGTTTAGAAGCCAGGGCATCGGCATGTCTTCACGCACGAATGTCGACCTCCTCAAAACAATCTCGTAAGCAAGCCCGAGCCGCCGCCAGAAGTAAACAGGCGTCATCTCAGTCCTCCTCCTCAACGTCCTCAAAGGTAGCTGATGATTCATATTCTCGGTGAATGAAATATTCAACTTTTTCATCTTTTCGAAGGGTAATATGAACTCCGTGCGTTCACCATAACTGATTTCCGGCGATCTACCGTGATTAGTTAAAAGAAACTGCGCTGCGTGGTATCGCCTGACATACGATGCCACACTTGCCTCAAGACTCTGTTATTTCGTACATTTGGACGACCTGCTCCGTGAAAGGTTTTGTGACTTCGCTTAACACGTGTGGAAATAGAGACTCGTGTGACGAATTGAAGGAGAAAGTTGGATCACTGTGGTGCATTTTGGGAACACGTGATCAAGTGCCAGCCTGTTCCCTATCAGTTTCAGGGTTTTACGAGTGGAATAGTGGTGAAAATGACGATGGTTGCGCAGCAAAGAATAGTTACTGAACAACTTCGGCGCGAAGCGAGCGTACGACGTATCACTGTTTCGCAAGCAGTGGAAGATATAAAGGTTCGTTCGATGTTCGTTTTATTTAATGTATCACATGCCATGATAATCCATTTGTAAAAGCACGTGATTACTGGTAATTATCTTTTCAAAGCACAAGTGCTTGTAAAGAATCTCACTGCATCAAAATTTGCTTATAACTTCGTTGTACGCGTTAAATCAAATGCTGTACTGTTCAAAATTTTCATCGAAAACGTTGTTGTAAGTAAGTTGAAATGAATGTGCACCTTCCCCCCCCCCCGCCTAAGTTTTATTATTGTCGAAAGCATTTGCTTATATAGCATAATAGATGTTTCCGCTTTGAAGAAAAAAAAATTGAAGAAAATGATGAAGTTGCCAAATGGTTCTCCCCACATTCTATACTTTTTGCAGGTATTCCTGTTGAACTATCTTCGGTTTCAGAAAAACGTGCGCATTTTCAACACGATATTCAAATGAATGCGTGCATAGCTTTTCCTCTCCCCGTAGATTGACATTGTGAGACGATATTTATTTCTACATTTATTTCTGAGGCAAAATCTGAAATTTTCTTGAGAACCGTGAAATGTATGCCCTTTGTCTAGGTTTTCTTCGCTTTTTTTCGTGAGCAGAATTAAAATATGCGTTTAGGGATGATTTTATTTCCTACCAAAAATTTCGATAAGTTGTACTGTACATACATAATTGCTGGTTCCAGGCCATGGTTTTTCATGACTTCGCTCGTATCGAAATCTCATTGAATTTTCAATGTTTATTTCACAGAAGTATGTGTCGGACCACGAACAAGACGACTGTCTTTTGGTGGGGTTCCACAGCCAGAAAAGCAATCCTTTTCGCGAGAAGAGCTCGTGCAATCTTTTCTGAACGAAAACCAGCATGGTTATTTCATTCCATTCCAGTCTCATCTTTGACATTTGGCTATGGACTGTTCGTGCATGACTTCATTATCAGGAAGTGTTTCTTGTTCTGTGGTGTATAATTTATTGAGCGGATGATGTGTTCGAGCTTTGATTGTCTGCATTTCTTCTTCTTGTGCTTCTTGCCAATATAATACGTTTGATTTATATTTTCGGGGGTTATTCTCGAAATCTGGTTATGAAACTATGATTAATGCTTCAACGCTGACAATTTGATGCTCACAGGATGTTGTGAATTCTTCATACTTTTTGTTCTGTACGAGTGTTCTGAGAAAGTTTTTGAAAATGAGTGTCATTGATGCTGTGAGAGCGTATATACAGAAGATGATCGACAATGCGGGCCCTGGATTGAAAGCGCTGCTCATGGATAAGGAAACCACGAGCATTGTGAGCACTGTGTATTCGCAGTCAGAAGTTCTTGCAAAAGAAGTATTTCTGTTCGAGCGCATTGATTCCGGGGGATATCGCAGCTCAATGCCACACCTGAGGTAAGTTTTGTTTCAAAAACCCATTGAGATTTCAAATTTTTCTAATTTATATGGTAATTTTGAAATAATGTGCAGTGTGCGGAAGCAATATTCTCATACAAATTTTTTCATTCATGTTTACTGCCTTTCGCGAATTAGCGAATTTACTACACCTACTTTGTTTTTGTTGTGATAAGGATGTTCAAAAGAACGTGGTTTTTGAGTTTTGTCTGTTAATTTTCTTCGTAAATTGAACTAAAGTTGAATACATGTAGAGGGAGTGTTTTATTCTGCAGTTTCACTTGATCATTTCCCGGCTATTGCTAATTTGATTGCCCTCATCCAGAGAAATTGAGAGAAGAATATGCACCTCAGCTGTGAAGAAAATGTGGCTCGTCTTCCTCTCTCATGTGCTTTAAAAATTTCAGGTCGTAGTAAGTCCTTTCGAATATTCCCCCTCATCAAAAAATCGCATTACTGACAGTCACAGGTCTTAGAACCATGCTCTGATTGAGAAACGTTTTTTGTCCCTGAAAAACTTCTTGTTAGCTCTTCTGGAGACAAAGCTTAAAAAATGGTCTGCGAACAGGTCCCAAATCAAATAAGTGTGCTATTGATTAAAATCCTTTTTCATTGAGCGGTTTTTGGAGGGATTCTTGCTTTTGAAAAAGTCACGTTTAAAAATGTAAACCTGATTTTGACCTGCGATGCAAACTAGAAAAAATTCCTTTTACTGTATGCGTAAAATGTTTTATTGACTGGAGCGTCTTTATTTCTTTGTTGATGATGGTTTTTGCTGTTCAATTTTTTTTCGCGTGAGCTACATGTTTAAAGAACACTTTCGGTTTGATGGTTGCCTTTAATTGACGTTTCGTATGTTGCTTGTATCATCGAAATTCTTTGATCTATCCCAACTGGTCATGATTGGACCTTGAATATACGTTGAAAAACATGATACTGGTACAATCTCTCAACGATGGAATTCTCTATGCAGTAGAAAGATTTTTTGCTCCTTGGGGGGTCTCTGCTTATGTCGGAGGTACGTAGGAGTTCTCTACAACGATCTTTTACTCGTCCCCTGAATTTTGTTGTAGAGTCCATCTGTTACAAGCGACATCTATTTAATACGGGTGGACTCGCACTACAACGAAATTCAAGGGACCAGAAAAAAAATCGTTGAAGAAAGAATTTCGTTGTAGAGAACCCGTACAACACACCTGTACGAAGAAAATCGTTGTAGACGAGATTGTTTAGATTAGAGGGAGTCCACCTGTGGAAGAAAAGGTCTGGGGGCAGGCTGGAAAAAAAAAACTTTCCTCTTCGGTTGTTCGAAAAGATTGCAGGGGACTTCGGGTATCGGAAGTTTATTTTATTTATGGTACTGTATTCATTTATTTTTTTCGGTGCGAAGTACTCGACTGCTCGTTCGTTGTTCGCAGGTGCGTGGTGTTCCTTCGTCCGACCAAAGAGAACCTGGATGCCCTGAAGGAGGAACTCCGGGAGCCCAAATATTCCAGCGGCTACTACATCTACTTTACGCACTTCGTGAAGAAGGAAGACATACGTGACTTGGCGTTTGCGGACCAGCACGAAGTTGTGCGAGACGTGAGCGAGATGTACGCGGATTTCCTCGCCGTCTCCCCGCACTTGTTCTCGTTGAACGTGCCGTCGTGTTTGCGGGGACTGGAGTGGAGACACGAGGCCCTGCTTCGTTGCGTGCAAGGATTAACCGCCGTGCTTTTATCGTTGAAAAAGAACCCGGTTATTCGGTACCAGGCCCATTCCCCGCGTGCTCAGCGACTCGCCGAACGTGTCCAGGATGTGATCAACAAAGAAGCCTCGTTGTTTGACTTTAGGTAAAAAAAAAATTTCGAGTACAGGACTACCTCGGTCAACGAAAGATTCGCACACCATTTTTTTTTTTTTTACGCGCGTGAAAAACTCCGAATTGCTATTTAATTTTAGTTTTAGTTAGCAGACCGCGTCATGATTCATCATTTTTGAGAAGAAAAAGTCGAGTTTTTTGTTTCAGATGTAGATTTCATCGTAATCTTTGGAGTACAGTGAGACCCCGAAATATGGACACGCAGACTTACGGACGATTCGACTTGGGAAAATTTAAAACGTTTAAAAATCTGACCTGACGACCGGAAAATGTCTCGATATGTACACTTTTCCAACATTTCTGGAAAAGTGTAAATTTTGTTCGTTCTCAAATTTGGATATCTCTTGAAAAAATGGAGCTATTTGTATTCTGAAAAACTAAAAATGGATTTTGCTATAAATTGACTCGAATTTGTAGTAAAAGACAGGTTAATTTTGTGCTTCTTGTTGGAGGGAGTATTTTCCATCATCTGTGCACAGTATAGCTAAATTGGTACTTTTTCTTTGCTCGTTGGGGTCCTTCTGATGCCAGAAGATCAAATTGTAATCAATTTTTTAAATCAATTTTTCCATCGAGGTCTATGGGAAAACGTGATGACGTTCCGACATAGGGACGAGTTTCAAACACCAATTACGTCCGCATCACGGAGTCTCAGTGTAGTTGAGAGATTTCATTTATTGTGCTGGGTGGCTTGGAAATTTTTACCTAGTTTCCAAGTTTTCCTGCTGTACTTCTTGTGTCGGAAAGTTGAATAACCATTAACATTTTTTTTTGTGAGGAGCCAAACGTAGTTATACGGTATTTTTTTAAAGCATCCTGTGAATTCCTGGAAGAAGAAATTTATGATTGACATGAGCTTTTTATGTTTTTTTTTTTCTAGGAAAAGCGAAAATCAGCCAGTGTTGCTTGTGATAGATCGCCGAGACGATACAGTTACTCCGTTGCTGAACCAGTGGACGTATCAAGCCATGGTTCACGAGCTACTTGGGATCCGGAACAACCGAGTGAGCTTGCGAGGACGAGACGGGATCCCAAAGGATCTCCAAGAAGTTGTCATGTCTCCGTTGCACGATGAAATTTACGCTTCTAACTTGTATAATAATTTTGGCGAGATCGGGACGGCCATCAAGAGTATGATGGAGGATTTCCAAGCACAGTCGAGGTCCAATCAGAAACTGGATACTTTGTCGGATATGAAAGCATTCGTGGAAAATTATCCACAGTTCAAGAAGATGTCGGGCACTGTGACGAAACATGTCACTGTTGTTGGAGAGTTGTCGAAAATCGTCTCTAGTCATCATTTGCTTCAGGTGATTCAAAATATGCTGTTTCTTGACATGGAAAAGTAACTTGAATTAATGTCCCAAGATATGGCTGTGACCTGTTTCCAGTTCGCAACGTGTATAAATCTTTATTTTTTTTTCATGGGGATTTAGTAGATGATTTGTTCCCGAGAACTCTTGCCTCTTTTCAAATTTCAAGAAATGTTGATCTTGGGACGAGGAAATTTTTAAATTCTTTAAATTGGCGTAATAATTTACTTATCCCAGCTCCACGCTCAGGTTCTTTCTAAAAATGTATGGGGAAAAAGGACGCTGAGCTTTACAGGCGGGTATTAAATTTTAAAAGTATTTTAGAAGTTCATGTTTGTGTTATACTTGGATTCTGGAGGGAAATTTTGGACCAATTTGAACAGAAAAACTTTTCAATGGAATTACCATAATCGAATTGAGGTCTAAATCGTGTCCAAGTTCAAATTCTGGATTTTTTTTTAATATTGCAGTTTTTAAGTCACTAAAATGGTGTGCGTGTCTTACTTGGGGATACGATTTAATCTAAATTTTAGACTGGAAAATCCTTGCGCGTGGTACATGAGTAAATATGGTAATCCGAGAAATTCAGATTAAAAAAAAAATATTGTTGCATAAACGTGTTGAGTTTTTCTGATGATCTGAATTACTGCACTCAGGTGTCGGAAAATGAGCAGGAATTGGTCTCACAAGGAAACCATGCTCAGTCGCTACAGAAAATTCGACAATTGGTGAACGCGAGCAAGGTTCGGGATATCGACGCACTTCGTTTAGTGCTGCTTTACGCTCTACGGTCAGTTTTTGAGAAATTGTCTTCATGATATTCTGTTTTCTTCTTTTTGTTTAAGTAAACGTTTCCCCTATTCCCGTAGGTACGAAACACATTCCAACAACGACATCATGGGGATCACGGGTCTCCTGAAGAACCGAGGGATCGGAACGGATGCTGGGAAGATTGTCGCTTCCATGCTGGAGTACGGAGGTGCTAAAGCCAGAGGCGGGGATTTGTTTGGCACTCAGGACGCCGTGAAGATCACGAAAAGATTATTCCAGGGATTGAAGGAAGTCGAGAATATTTACACCCAGCATCAGCCTTTGCTCGTGGAAACGGTGCGATTATTGTCCCGTGGGCGGCTGAAGTAAGTTGAATACAGTAAAATCGCCCCGTTTTTTCGTCAGCAATTCCCGAGAAAAATGTTCCGTAATTGTAAAAACCGCAAACAATATGGAAATCGATTTGCGAAAATTCTCCTTACGCATTGACTAAATCTGCGAGTTTCTTCCCAGATGAAAATTATTTAGAAGCATAAAATTAGATAAATTCGCACCATTTATAACAACAACAAAAAATTCTTGAAGTCGATTTGCGGAGATGTGGCCCACGCTTAGACAAATATCTGCACATTTTTCGAGGTGCGAATTAACTCAAAGTATGAATTTAAAAATTCGTGAAACCAAAGATTGGCAAAATCACGAAAAGCTGGAAACCGATTTGAGAAAATGCGGCCTATGCATAAACGAAATCTGCAAGTTTCTTTTCCAGATGCAAATTTTCCAAAAGTAGAAAATTTAATAAATTCGCGAAATCCTGTGATTAATTAACCGAATAAGTGCTGGAATAGCCTATGCTTGAACTAATTCTGTGAGTTTCTTCCCGTATAAGAATGTTCGAATACAGTACTAGAGCATGTAGAAAATTCGCAAGCTCCTGTGATTTAAAAACTGTAGAAGGGCTGCATTATGTATCAGATTGAAAATGCGTGCATAATTATTGTATGATAATCACTGGTTGACTTGGAAGACTGATGAGAAATCTCTTCATCAGTGAAAGAGGAAAAAGATAAATACTGTCTTGCTGTTTCAGCGAGAAAATAATTACAGTGCCGTCTTGTCGAATCAAACCTGATACAGTAGTAACTCATCTTCATGTTCGTGTTTGATTCGATTTGTTTTTAAGAAGTGAAGAAAAATTGCTGAAACGCGAACCCCAGATTTTATGAACGCAAAAAAAAAAAAAAAAAGTTTCACGACTTTCGAGAGACCCCGTAGGAAATAATCGAAGAAAAATTTATGACGGAAGTACTGTACGTATATTTTGTTTTTTGTCGATTACAGGGAAATGAATTACCCGTTCGTGACCCCGAGCGATGCGACGAGGATCCCGAGCGAAGTGGTGCTATTTATAGTCGGCGGGGCTACTTACGAGGAATCCGCGGCCATTTTCCAGTTTAACAATAATAACCCATCGGGTACCCGAGTGATCCTTGGTGGCACGACCATTCACAATTCCGAAAGCTTTCTCGAGGAAGTGTCGAGTGCCGTCGAAGGTATTCACGTGCGACACGCCCGAAGGCTTGTCCATTGAGGTTTGAGGTTTTTTTTTCGTGTTACGCCGTGATTATTGATGCTCGTGATATTTATTTTTTTCTGTTGCACCGGGGTCGTTGCTTTTTTTTGTGGTTGCGGAAGAAAAATACCGTATTTCCTTGAATATTCCTGTGATGAAATTCGAGAATTTTGAAAATCGATTTCCAGAAACAGTAAATGGCGTTATATCCTGCATTTCAGTGTAATTTGATTCAATTATTAGTTTCAACCAAAGGAAAAAGAAAACTTTTTGGTTGCTATCCATTTTCTTTTGCGTTTTGGCTTACTGTTTTGGAAAGAGAATTGATCACGAATAATTTCTCTGGGAATTACTGTACTTGAATAGCAGTGTAACATTTTTCCATTAAATAATTTATGAATACCACTTCGTTTAAATTACATGATCGGAATGCATAGAAATTATTACTTCCTGAAAGTTTGTATTTGGGATGAATTCCTTACCTTCGAAAACTACTTGTTATTGAATCAAAATTTTGTTGAATTGTAGAAATAGTTTTATTATCCTGACTAAATTCTGTTGTCTCTTTCTAAGATGTCAGTCCAACTACGGACATTTTTTCGCTTCAAACAAGAGTCAATCGTTTCCGAAAGGCGCCGCTTTTTGGTTTACTTACATTTTCGTGCTGATTAAGAAAAGTCTTATATTCAAGTGAATACGGTATTTGATTTTGCTTGGAACAATTTATGAAAAATATTTTTCGTGGAGGTTTGCAATATCTTATGAGAAGTTTTACGTCATGATACTCAGTCAGAGGAAAGCATATTGACGTCGATCAAAGGGAAAGCTATGGAATTTTCGGTTGCCTGGGAATGCTTTGATTTTGGAAAATTATGTTGGAAGGGATTCGAAATGATGTGAAAATTATTTCTTGATTAGTGAAATTTGTTTTTATTTTTTTGAATCATAAGTTTTGGATGTTTTTCTCTGAACATTATGTGTTCACGGTATTTGCATTGTTGAAACGCTTCTTATCATGGATGAAAACTTGAGCAATGAATTCTGAGTTAATGTCAGCAGGCATGAAAGTGGAGGAGATTACGACTGCGGGTGAAATCTAACATTCATGGAAATACTTGGATGAAGTAGTGGGCATCGTAGGAAAATTTGTCCCAAGAGTTTTATTGACTCAATCGGAATTTTTACTATGATCATCAGAATTAGGAATGATTTTTTTTTCATCGTTTAATTGTGGCTGATGCTGTTCAATTCATGATTCCAATTTTCTGCCTGTGCGCTGTGGCGAAGGTGATTTCTTTATTAGTATTGCATTCATGGTGTGGAAAACTTCGATCTTTCGCTGCGTTAATTTGATTATGTTTCAACTGAAGAGTTCCTCGTCGATCCGTTTCTTATTTTTTTGTTTTGTTTTGGGCGCTCAAATTTTGCAGGGGATTTTGTTTTAAAATTTTATGAAGGTATGTAACGGCCAGTGGTTGATGAAAAAAAGAAATGGCAAGCATTTTTTGAGGCATGTCTACACTTTGAAACCTGTGAGAAAATCAGGAAAACCCACCAGAATTCCGACCCGGATTATTGTTTCCATGCATTGTTTTGTGATGAAAGATTTACTGGAGTGCTGAAAAAAGAAAAGGTGGAAGAACAAAGAACGTGGAGGAAAAGGTGAAGCGTGAAAATGACTTCATTTATTCCGCCAAAAAATCGCAGTGACACAAATGCACCATGCGGTGAAAGCTCCAGTGTGAGAATAGAACCGTGAGCCCCCAGAACTCGCTTCCCTCAGGAACTGAGTGTCGACTAGGTTCTTCGTTGCATCTGGAAAAATGAAGTGCAGGGAAAAAAATCAAGAGGAGAAAAAAAAAGTGCAAAAATTTTTTTCGCCAAAACTGGAGAAGTACCGAATCCCAATACCGAATTCTACCATGCTGCCCAAAGTGCCAGGATTGACAAGATGAAACATTTATCCTGGAAAGTGAGTCATGGACATGTTCTTTTCCCCCTGTTTCAAAACCTGACGTTTCATTTCCCCCGTTTAGGTGTTTTTTTTTCTCCTGACATGACCTGGACCTGGGATTCCACGAAACATTGAATTCTGGTGAAAAGCACAATTTCGTGATTATTGCCAAAAAAGGTCGCTTTTAGAACGGGGCTCTTCAAATGATTTGTCAAATCGACCACTTACAACGTGTATAGGTGGTGCCCCACAGTTTGACCCTAACCCTGTGCTGATTTGACTAGGGTCAAATCATGAAGCAGTTGCATTGCAAGACAATGTCAAATGCAATGTTTTCTACATCATATTTGACATTTTGCATCTCTTTGTGGGCCAAATTTTGGGGCAGAGGTCAAATTGCAAGTTGACCTTCCAGAAAATTTGACCATCAAATTGTGGGATGGACAAATTGCAGGGTGGTCAAATTTTGAGGTACCAGCTGTATAGGTACAGTACTTTCATATCATCTTCTCAGTACCAGGGACCCCAAGTAAAATTCATAGATGTATTTAAAATAATGGTTACATCAATGCCTGCAATTGCACATTTTTCACATTGTGAACAGTTACAGAGGAAAGTTTCTGGCCAATTTTAACAAATAATTGTAAAAAAATCAGCAATTGAAAATAAATTGATTCAGCTTCATTTATTTAGCTTCAATTTGAGTCAACATTTCTAATTTGGATGGAGTTTCTTTTAAAAATACTGTATTGCAATTTGTCATTCACTAAAAAAAAGGTGTGTGTCTTTCTTGAGAATATAGCTTTTATTTAAATTTTGGGCAGAAAAATCCAGTTACACATCTCACTTCAGGACACGTGGTACTTGAGTAAACACTGTACAGTATTAAGCCATTAATCTGTGAAGTATCCTATTTACCCAAGTACCATTTTTTAAATAAAAAATCTAGGCAAAAAGATGGTTGTGCGTAATATGCACATTTTAAAAATTGAAAAATCATGAAACCATGGTGAGTAAGTCAGGAGTTGGTCTGAAGTCAAAAAATTAATAAAAAATTCTGTTTGACAATAAATTTGATTAAACTCTTCATTTAATTTGATTGTGAGCTTGTTTTGTAAAATAAAATTTCAGAAATACTGTAAATTTAGATTGTCAGCCTAAAAAAAACTGGGGGACGGATGTTATGCTGAAACAGGGTTTTTGGTAAATTTTGCGCCAAAAAATCAAAGTATGAGTCTTACTCAAGGGTGCATGGTACTTGTGTAAATGTGGTAGGTAAAAATTGTCTCGTGATTTTGTCAAGAAGGAAAAATATATTTGTTTGTCTTCTGCCTGTAGGAGAATACAGTACTGTATTTGAGATCTCTGCATCTCTTGCCAAAGGTGTGGCGTGATAACGACATTTCAGTACTGTACTGAACTGAATCCCGTTCCTGCATACTTCCTCCCGTGGCCGCACCTGGCGACTCGAACCCCGAGATCATCCCGGAAACCACTGCTGGCTAATAAATTATCCGTTTTTTAATACTCCATTCAATCCCCAGCAGCTCTGGTCACAGGAACGGAAAACAAATGGCAAATGCGCAATTAAATTGGAAACGAGTTTTTGACCCTCGCGAAAGAAGAGAAGAAAACGTGGAGAGAGGGGAATCGTAATCAGGATCGCGAGTCGGGTCCTGTACCTGCATCGAGGACGGAGGCCGGATCGGGTCGTGCGTCGCTGCTGCGAAACGAGTCATTTGCTTTGAGTGACCCAGTTTTGGTCCCGCTGCAGCCGAACCACCAGTCGCCCACTGGGCGCGGGTACGGAGGGTCTCCCTTGTCCACCTGGCAACGGGAAAAAACAAGAACGGGGGAAAACTTCCTTTTAAAAAGTTCCCTGTAACTGGGTTCTGTTGAAAATGCGTGCCAAGGGGTGTGGGGTGGATTCCGGTTGCACGCCACCTATTTATTTGTTTTTGCGGCCAGTCCCGAAATGTTTTCATTTGGCACCTGAATTTGAGTCAGAAATTTGCGATTAAATGCAAATTGTCCTGATTTTTATCAACTGGACATTTATTAAACCTTGTGCGCATCGAATGGAGCGAAAACTGATGGAAAAAAAGCAATTTGAATTTGAATCTGAAATCTTTGATCGAGCTCAAATGACCCGTACATTTAACAACTGGACATTCATTGAATCTTTCTCGCATTTTAATGCATCGAAAGCGTAAAAAAAATCTTTGGTATGTAAATATAATTGGAATCGAAGTCCGCAGTGCGCTGTTAATTTTGAACTCAAATTATCCAGATAGTTCAAAGAATTAAATCGTTGCCCGCATTTTCCCGCTCCGATAAGATTAAAAAAAATTTATTCCCCTTATTTAAAGTCACGTGGACTGAAATTTAAAGTTCGGCATTTGCGATTGAACTCAAATTATGCTTACATTTTAAAAACCCTGCCCGGATTTCGATGAATAGGGAGGAACCAAAAATATTGTTTTTAATGTGAATGTAAGCAGATTTATTATTCGCCATTTCCGTTATTCTTTTGTGTGGCAATGCCGGTCATGTCAAGTCTGAAATGTTGGATTTTATTAATTGAGAAATTAATTCAAGGGGAACAATCTGGAATGAAAGGCTTGATATAATTATAATGTCCGCATTATAAAAATGTGATCTTCTTCCGCTTTGAATGCAATTGTCAATATTTGATCACCTGGGTAAATGCCTTCCCACATTTGAAAGATTGTTAATTGTCAGGTCATTGAGTGAGAGGTTTTTTAATAATTGATTATCTTAAATCATGAACCTAGATAATCGGGATTTCTACTGTATTTCCAGCTCCTCTACAGTAAAATGGTCTTCACTATATGATTTGAAGTTTTGTACTTATTTATAGCTGAATTGTGTATATCCCAGTTTTGAAAAACTGGGTTTTTTTTTGCGCATCATGTTTTGAAATTTTAAATTTTGCAGTACTGATCTACAGTTATGTAAACTGAAGTACAGTATTCAAAAAGTGAACTGTGTTGTAGAGCTGCAATGAAGCGAGCGACATCTACGCGCGTACAAGTTTTCAACAAGGAAAACGCTTTCTTCGATGTGTACACAGTTGCAAAATTTATTTTGAGTTGGATTCCTTCTGGGGGTTCCAAGAAGTGTTTTCATTCAACTAAACCTGATTATATAGAAAACCCTTGTGCTTGACACACTTCGATCATATCGTATTGCCAACGTTCTGCATTTTCTGATTCCAAGGAATGATAGGAAGTTTGCGCGCAGACTTTGCCAGAACATGCCGTTTTATTATGTGTAACTTTTTATACATTTCTGTATTTATGCACATTATGAAAATTTAGTGAAGTTCAGGGTGGATGGTTTTTAGCTTCAGAAGCCCTTGACACGCTCGCAGATAATCAGCAGCGAATCGATAACGTCTTCGTGTATGTGTGTGTATTCTCAAGGTTACGCTTGAAAAATTCAACGCTTGTCCTGCTACTTTCTTATTAAAATTTCATAACTATCCTGGTAAGAAATGCCCGGTTGTCAGACCGTTCACTGACCTCCAAATACTTTATCGTCCGTTTTTATGCGACTGAAATTATGAATAAATATTGAACGCGTATCATCAGGTCTGTTTGATGTAGCATTTAATTGTAAGAAAAATATAAATTTTATGAGTTTCTCATTAAAAAAAAAAGGAAAATTTTACGTCCGTTTTTTATTGACCCGATGAATGAATATTGAGTATCATTTTTTAACATTTGATTTTCAGTAAAGTCGCGCCTTTCTAGAAATTTTTGTGGGCTTCTCCAAAAAAAAGCCAATTTTCATGTCTTTTATTATTGAACCCGTTAATGAACATTGATCCTAATCACGTNATGGTACTTGTGTAAATGTGGTAGGTAAAAATTGTCTCGTGATTTTGTCAAGAAGGAAAAATATATTTGTTTGTCTTCTGCCTGTAGGAGAATACAGTACTGTATTTGAGATCTCTGCATCTCTTGCCAAAGGTGTGGCGTGATAACGACATTTCAGTACTGTACTGAACTGAATCCCGTTCCTGCATACTTCCTCCCGTGGCCGCACCTGGCGACTCGAACCCCGAGATCATCCCGGAAACCACTGCTGGCTAATAAATTATCCGTTTTTTAATACTCCATTCAATCCCCAGCAGCTCTGGTCACAGGAACGGAAAACAAATGGCAAATGCGCAATTAAATTGGAAACGAGTTTTTGACCCTCGCGAAAGAAGAGAAGAAAACGTGGAGAGAGGGGAATCGTAATCAGGATCGCGAGTCGGGTCCTGTACCTGCATCGAGGACGGAGGCCGGATCGGGTCGTGCGTCGCTGCTGCGAAACGAGTCATTTGCTTTGAGTGACCCAGTTTTGGTCCCGCTGCAGCCGAACCACCAGTCGCCCACTGGGCGCGGGTACGGAGGGTCTCCCTTGTCCACCTGGCAACGGGAAAAAACAAGAACGGGGGAAAACTTCCTTTTAAAAAGTTCCCTGTAACTGGGTTCTGTTGAAAATGCGTGCCAAGGGGTGTGGGGTGGATTCCGGTTGCACGCCACCTATTTATTTGTTTTTGCGGCCAGTCCCGAAATGTTTTCATTTGGCACTTGAATTTGAGTCCGAAATTTGCGATTAAATGCAAATTGTCCTGATTTTCATCAACTGGACATTTATCAATCCTTGTACGCATCGCATGGAGCAAAAACTGATGGAAAAATGCAATTGGAATTTTAATCTGAAATCTTTGATCGAGTTCAAATGACTCGGACCTTTTAACAACTGGAAATTCATTGAACCTTTCTCGCATTTTAATGCATCGAAAGGGTAAAAAGAAAATCTTTGATATGTAAATGTAATTGGAATCGAAGTGTGCTGTTGATTTCAAATTCAAATTATCCGGATATTTAAAAGAATTAAATCGTTGCCCGCATTTTCCTGCTCCGATAAGATAAAAAAAAGATCCCCGTTATTTAAACTCAATTTTGACTGAAATTCAAAGTTTGACATTTGCGATTGAACTCAAATTATGCTTACATTTCAAAACCCCTGCCCGGATTTCGATGAATTGGGAGGAACCGAAAATTTTGTTTTTAATGTGAATGTAAGCAGATTTATTATTCTCCATTTCCTTCATTGTTTTGTGTGGCAATGCCCGGTCATGTCAAGTCTGAAATGTTGGATTTGATTAATTGAGAAATTAATTCAAGGTGGACAATCTGGAATGAAAGGCATGAAATAATTAAAATGCCAGCATTTTAAAAAATTGATCTTCTTCCGCTTTGAATGCAATCGTCAATATTTGATCAAAATGCCTTCCCACATTTGCAAGATTGTTAATTGTCAGGTCGTTGTTGAGTGAGAGGTTTTTTAATAATTGATTATCTTAAATCATAAACCTAGATAATTGGGATTTCTACTGTATTTCCATCTCCTCTACAGTAAAATGGTCTTCACTATGATTTGAAGTTTTGTACTTATTTACAGCTGAATTGTGTATATCCCAGTTTTAAAAAACTGGGCTTTTTTTTTGCGCATAATGTCATGAAATTTTAAATTTTTTCAGTACTGATATACAGTTTTGTAAACTGAACCATTCAGAAAGTGAACTGTCTTTTAGAGCTGCAATGAAGCGAGCGACATCTACGCGCGTACAAGTTTTCAACAAAGAAAATCGCTTTCTTCGAAGTGTAGACATTTGCAAAATTTATTTTGAGTTGAATACTTTTCGGGGGGTTCCAAGAAGTGTTTTCATTCAACTAAACCTGATTATATAGAAAACCCTTGTGCTTGACACACTTCGATCATATCGTATTGCCAACGTTCTGCATTTTCTGATTCCAAGGAATGATAGGAAGTTTGCGCGCAGACTTTGCCAGAACATGCCGTTTTATAATGTGTAACTTTTTATACATTTCTGTATTTATGCACATTATGAAAATTTAGTGAAGTTCAGGGTGGATGGGTTTTAGCTTCAGAAGCCCTTGACACGCTCGCAGATAATCAGCAGCGAATCGATAATGTCTTTGTGTATGTATGTATTGTATTCTCAAGGTTACGCTTGAAAAATTCAACGCTTGTCCTGCTACTTTCTTATTAAAATTTCATAACTATCCTGGTAAGAAATGCCCGGTTTTCAGACCGTTCACTGACCTCCAAATACTTTATCGTCCGTTTTTATGCGACTGAAATTATGAATGAATATTGAACGCGTATCAGGTCTGTTTGATGTAGCATTTAATTGTAAGAAAAATATAAATTTTATGGGTTTCTCATTTAAAATTAAGGAAAATTTTACGTCCGGTTTTTATTGACCCGATGAATGAATATTAAGTATCATAAAAAATTGTAAACTAAAAGTCATTTCAGCGCGGAAAGATCTTTAAAAACACCCGAAGAGGTTTTTTTTCGGTTAAAAGTACAGAAAATAATAACTTGGGCAATTACTTGTAACTAGGATTAGTGCACAACATTTAAATTTAAGAAAAATCGTATGGGTTTCACCTGCAAAAAAACCAACTTTAACGTCCATTTTGTATGACTGAATCGATGAATGAAAATCGAACTTATTTTGTGAACATTTAATTTAAAAGAAAAAGTCACGCTCTTCATCGAGAACATTTTTTATGGGATTTTTTTTTATCATGACTCACCTCGAAGTCGTTATCATTGAAACGCCAGTACTCAGTGCCCTTGAAGAAGTACGTCAACTTGTTGCTGTACTGTAGAGCAGCGCTGATTTTCCCATCTGCTGGCAACCCTTGCCAATTTTTGATCTCTTTCGGATACGCTTCGCTCACTGGTGGTCTCGCATCCGGGTTGAATCGGTAATACTTGTCATCTGCGAGGGATGACACGATAATCAGAAAAAGTTTGATGGCAATTTCAGCAACATTTCAACTAAAAATCGAGACTTTACAGAATTGAATGACTCGGGATTTCCCCGCAAGTGACTCATTCGCAAGAAAATTAATTTTCAGCGAGGCATTTCATTATTAAACTTGTAATACTTTACTTAAAGAAGCTTAGACATCACATATAACTCTTTGAAAGTTCAATTAAAAGTGAGTGGTAATTTAATATAGAACAATCGAATGAAAAACTAGTTAGTCTATTAATACCTATGCAACAAACACTGAGGGACTTCAAAATTAATTTGGAAAATTTTGATTTTTTTTAGTTCGAGGGAATTTTCTTCAAATCTTGAACATTTTTTTTCTGGCCAAATGAATTAATTATTCAAGAAAATAAAACATTTTATCTGCAAGATATATTGGTCTCACACCAAAGGCAAAAACTTTTTTCCACTAAAAACAATCGGCAATTGGTAGGTTCTTATTAAACCAACGTGGGATTTTCTCTTGATAAAAATAATTTACTTTGCTGCGAACAATGAATTTTGCTTTATAGAATTAGTCCCTACAAAAGCAAGACGGAAAATAGGGAACAAATTTGATGTAATGAAAGCAAATGAAACCCCACCCAAAAATCGATTCGTGGTTATAGATTTTTAAAAATTTTCATAATGACATTTATAAATCATTATATGTCTGACCTTTTTAAAAACAGCTAAAATACCATGTTCAACCTCAGGAGTAAAAAGAAAAAATTTTAACAAACCGGATTTAAAAAAGGAAAAGAGATTGGAAAACTGACGAACTTCAATTTAAATTTAAAAGATGATTTCTTTGGGGTTACCTTTGAAAACATATATTTTTGCGTTTCCGCTCCACACGAACGCAGCGTCGATGTTGTCAGGAATGCCCTCGAATCCCTTTTTGATCAGTTTCGGGTAACCTGCATCCAAGCTTTGTCCTGTGTATCTCCAGTATTGCGTTCCCTGTCAATAATAGTTACTAGATTAGTTATATAATCAAAAATACCGAATCATCGAATCGATGCTCAACTGATGCGCGCGAGTATTTTAAAGAAAATTAAATTTGTGGAAGGTTCATGGAGAAAGCTGGCAAAATACGAGGATTTTCCCAGTTGAACGCGACCTCTTGAAATTTTCATAGAGTTGGTGTGGTTGTAAAAAAAAAAAAAAAAAAAAAAAAAAAAAAAAAATATATATATATATATATATATATCTCTCAGGACATAGCTCATGGAGTTTTAAGTTTCTGGTATTTTTTTTCTTCAAATTTTGATCAACTTTTTTCAATTTACTGCATGAGAAAGCTGGCAAAAAATACGAGGGTTGTCCCAGTTTAACACGACCTCTTGATATTTTCATGGAGTTGGTGTGCTTGTAAAAATATATATATATCAGGACATAGCTCATGGAGTTTTAAGTTTCTGGTATTTTTTTTCTTCAAATTTTGATCAACTTTTTCAATTTACTGCATAATGATGAATGAAAACTGCCAGTTAGAGTCTATCTTCTCAACCCATTTGACAATGTGCTAAAAGTGTATCAGCCAAATAAATAAAAAAATGATTTCTTTGTTATTTTAATCATTTTGTGAAGTTTGGAAAAAATGAATGAATAAAACAATAAAAGAAAATCAACTTTTTCAGTTGGCCTGACAACATTTTAGCACCCTGAGACATGGGTTGAGAACTCTAGCTGTAACTGGAAAGTTTTCACTCATAATCATACAGTAAATTGAAAAACATGTTGAAAAATCCTTTAAAAAATCCCAGAACTTTAAAAAAATTGAGCCATACGTCGCAATTGTTTTTTTTTAAATTACACCTCCTTTAAAATTATCAGAGGTCGCGTCTAACTGGGACAACCCTGGTGCCTTCCTGATGATTTTTTTTTTCAGTAAAAAAAAAAAATCTGGCCTGAGAATATGGTTTCAGTTTTGATCAGGGCATTGAACTGATGGATAATCTGATGGTAAATGAAGCAACTTGCCTTGAAAAAGTAGTTCTTGCCGTTGATCCAGGCGAATGCAGCGTCCAGATCTGAAGGCAGTTCCGGCCAGTCTGATGACACTTTTCTGGGGTAACCGGATGCAACCCCAGAATCCGTCAGCTTCCAGTAATATTCCCCTGCAATTCGATTACAAATTTTTTCATCAACAAAAAATTTGTAGTGCTTGATCATAAATCCCATTCCAGGGGGATTATGGATTGCTCATTTGATTCAGTGAAGAATTATAAGTTTAATTGCGCGGGTATAAATTAAAGTATATTCCATCACAAAAATGTCCAGGGTCAATATTTACTGACCAATGTTGTCATAGGTGTCACTTGAAGCAACAGGTTATATACCGTATTTAGTTGAGTACCATGCTTGATTTTGATGATTTCATAATGAGACATGAACCTTCATTTTTGATTTGCAAAATTGTGTAAAAATGTATCCCTGCTTTTCCTGGAAAAATGTTTACAAATTAAAAAATCGCAACAGATACATGCATGCTCTAAAAAAAGTGTCCCTAACTTGAGCCAATGTCCAGATGTTGGGCCTGATTTTTTTGGTTTTCAAGTGTCCCTAAGTCAAATTGTCCGTATTTTGGGGTGTCTAAATAGTGTGTCTAGTCTCAGTGTAAGTGATTGATTAGCTATGGAATTTCAAGGTTCACTTATATACAGTGGCAAATTTAGCTTTAAATTAAATTTAGTTTCTTTTGGTCAAGCTCAGGATTCAGCTGACATCTGCCTGACATTTTAGCAAGCATGAAAGGGAAAGGACAATCCCTAGTCTTGAAGTGCAACAGAATACAACATACACCTGAAAATGGCAGAAGTTCAGAACTGAACTAACCTTTGAAAACATAAGTTGTTCCATCCTTGGTGGTCAAAAAAGTGTCAACATTTTTAGCCTCGCACAATTTAGGCCCATTATTTGCAGCACCTTCAGCATCAGTACTTCCTGGTTTGACAGTTGCATTTGGCTTGGGTGTTGTGGTGGTTGTTCCAGATGAAGACACTGCATTGTCTTGGTCAGATGATTTCTTCCCATACAATGACTGAAACAGGGTGATACTTAAAAGTGCATCTTATATAATTAAGTCTTACTTAGTTTGACTAATTCTGTAGAATAAGGATTTATAGTTCAAAGAAAAAAACTTTTATACTTGAACCTTTTCATGACGTTCAACTTGAGAGGGCTTCAGACACAATTTGAAGACTTTGAACTTAGTCTGATGATGCATTATTAGTTCAAGGAAATGAGTCTCATGCCCAAGTTGAAGGTTTTGATGCTTAGTTTTAAGGGTTGATACTAAGTTTGAAGATTTGATGCTTGGTTTGGAGGCTTGATGCTTACTTAGTTTGAAGGTTTGATACTTACTTTGCAGACTTGAGACATGGTTTGATGACTTAAAAGTTGAAACTTAGTCTGAAGCCTTGACACCAAATTGAAAGAAGGCTTTTCAACAACTGTTCATCTGATTTGAAGATGCAACAAAAAGACCTTGTTTTAAGACAAATTTCCAGTGAATGCATAAACATGACAGGCTAGACTTGAAGTAAATGTGAGAAAAAGATATGTCAAACAGACAACTCACAAAGCTGAAAATGTGATATGGAATGGATGAAAAAATTTAGGAGAAGAAGCAATTGAATTTGAAGGCAAGAATTAAAGTTCTTTTCGCGAGAGAGTGAAGAGTCGAATGTATAAATATGAGCTAAGTAAATCAGCTGGGACAAAGTCCGAGTTTTGAATGAGTTATATTTCGTTTGATGATAACACTTGGTCAGAATTTCGGAATTCGGAGTTTCAGCGATACGAAAAAGCTTCTCTGCTCGGAGATCTGCTCAGGTTCACAATTCGAATGCGAGTGATGAAAATCATGCTGAATTTGGGAAACAGGAAAAGAGTTGCTGAAGGACGCGGATTAAGAAATCCATTGAGAAGATGTCCTTGCTGGGCCTGGGAATCGAACTCGGGTTCGGTTCCCAGGCTTTGGTCTTCCAAACATGAATGACTTTTTAAAAATAAAAAATGAAACTGTATAAATTGGGTGCAGTATAATTTATAAAAAATGTATACCTTTTAATTTATAAAAAATGTATACCTTTTAATTTATAAAACATGTACACCTTTCAATTTATAAAAAATGTATACCTTTTAATTTATAAAAAATGTATACCTTTTAATTTATAAAAAATGTATACCTTTTAATTTATAAAAATGTACACCTTTCAATTTATAAAAAATGTATACCTTTTAATTTATAAAAAATGTATACCTTTTAATTTATAAAAAATGTATACCTTTTAATTTATAAAAAATGTATACCTTTTAATTTATAAAAAATGCATACCTTTTAATTTATAAAAAATGTATACCTTTTAATTTATGAAAATGGTAATTTTTAGCATGAAAACACTGCACAGGAATCAGTGAAAAATGTAAACCTGAATAAATAAATAAATTTTAATACATATAATAATCTTAATATTATGTTTTAAAACCCCAGTCAGAGATGAAAGTTTCTCAGCAGTATCAGATTTCAAGTATATGAAAAAATTGGAAAACCCCACTACTATTTGAGTTGATGAATATGCTTCACACCTGGTTTTTTCCCCCTCGAATTTCTTTTCTTACCTAATTTCAATGTGAATTTTCCCCGAGGTCACAGCTGTAAACGTCAAGTCGGTCACGTCTGACCACACTTTAAAGGCTCTCGCAATTTCCGTGTCTACTTGCGACTTGGGTAAATTCTTTGGGTACTTGGTTATCTGGTAAGTCAGCGCTTTCACTCTCCATCTGCTTCCTATAGAGAAAATAAACATGAAAGAAAATTAATACCTTATTATCAATAATAAATTGATCAACGCGCAATATTTTGATCATCAATCTCACTCTATACACCGATATGCTGAATGGAAGAAGAAGAAGAAAAAATGAATCGCAGAAGGGGATTTTTTTATTTTATTTTCTAGCATCGGAAGTAACAAACGTAAGTTCATGTATCGGAACACGACATGACAGGAAATGAAATAAATATCGAATGAATCATGCTACTCATGAACCGTTGCGTTACACTTCCGGGAATCGTAATTATTTATTCATCGATGATGACGGTCGCGTGAAATCACTGCCAATGACGCTCATCGATCATTATTATTATTATTTGTTTCTTTATTTTTTTCAAAAAAGAAATAAGCAGCGTGATTGCACGAGTCATCATCATTCTTTTCTGCAATTGCTTTTTCTGCATTTGAAAGATATATTTTTATTTTTGGAACTTGCGAAGGTTTATTGCGGATTGAGAAAAAGGGAAAAAATGGAGAAGAATCGTCAAATAAAATTATTGCTTCCGTTTGAAATTGTATTTTTCATTAGGTCGGGGGAAAATTGTTGGGATTTTATTAATCTGTTAAAGAGAGTAGAATAAATTATCAGTTCGACTTGGACTCCCAAAAAGGTCACTTAGATTTAGATACGAGTAAAAATTGGTCATTGACTTTTTTTTTTCTTTTTGCCTATGTTTATTTTTGGAGAATTGAAATGATTCAAATTCAAGATTACATCGGATGAATGTTGCACTCCGAAAATATTTTGCGTTCTACAAATGCAATGCATAAATCTTGTCTTGAAATTATTCCATGCTGAATTTATAATATTTCCGGCACTTACATTTTCGATTTGGAACTTGGAAAATTTTTTTGTGGTTAGAAGATGACCCAGTTTTTTTTATTAAGATAATATTTCATGAACAGTCTAGAGAAAAATCATCATTTGAATTTAAAATGATAATTTTGTTCTCAATACAGAACATTTCGCTCATGAAACTGAACTTATTAATTGCTTCATTTGTGAGTTTTTTTTTAGCGACTTTTCTACAATTTTCAGTAATAAAATTGGAAAACGCAAGCAATCATGAAATTCACAAAAGGTGCACGCATGTAATTAATTCGGTGATTTATGTATCCGTCAGTTTTCTTTAATCATCTGTCGAATGCAAATCAACCTTTTCAACGAGTGCCTTTTATCCTTCCGCGCTTTGCTGCTAATAAATTGATTATTAGCAGTCGAATTCTAAGGGTTTACTCTTTTTTGTGAATGTGTAAAACACAGGAACTTCATTAGTATTTTTAATTTTTGACCGGAAATAAACTTGAAAATGCGGACTGATTAATTTGTTCGAATTCAACCGAAATTAAATTAATTTTTAATTGTCAGGAATTCCTGACATCGCCTCGCCTTAATTCCGATGATTTTTTGTGAAGAATTTTATGCAGTATTTTATATTGTGAAATTTTGTATTCTTTCAACAATGTAAATATTTGAAATATGCCTCGCTAGAAATATTCCATGATAATACTTGCATCCTACGGATTTTTTTCTGTACAAGGTGTTATGTATATAAATTTGTGTAATTTTTCTTGAACATAAGAGAATATTTTGGGCACCTTTGCGAATGTTCAGAACAATTATAAAGGATGTTCTGATGCTTTTTTTATGCGTATTACAATGGATCAAGAGAGGAATTAAAGCAAGGAAATTTTTCTGTCTCAAATAGTCCTTGTCTAAAAATGTCTCTAAATTCTCTTCATCTCCAAATGTACCAATCTCAAATTGTCCATTGTCTCCAAAAGTTTCTGTCTCAAATTGTCTGTCTCAATTTGTCCTAGATCCATCCTGACATGAAATATAAATTCGAAAATCTCGTGATTACTTCACGAGACAAATAGTCCTTGTCTAAAAATGTCTCTAAATTCTCTTCATCTCCAAATGTACCAATCTCAAATTGTCCATTGTCTCCAAAAAGTTTCTGTCTCAATTTGTCCTAGATCCATCCTAACATGAAATATAAATTCGAAAATCTCGTGATAGTCCTTGTCTAAAAATGTTTTTAAATTCTCTTCATCTCCAAAT